TCAACAAAAACCAGGGCAAATGAAGACCAAGGTTCCACTGTATTTAGAGGAAGCTTTAAACCCATAGGGGTCATACAGCACCTGGCAAAATGGGAGATTAACATATTGCAAACATTAATAAAAAACTATTCATAGATACCCCATCTCATACAGTGCAGTGACTAGTGCACTTAAAACTACAATCGGAGGTCAATCCCCTTGTCAGGCAGTAAAGCATGTATGGGCAAGTCTCCTGTCACCTGTTGCCTCTGTTATAATAAAAATATCTGTTTTTAAAAAGTACATCATACAATTGATATAGGATTAGTCGATATATTTGGCATATTGTATAGAAAGACTTTCTTGGATTATCCTAAGTTATTAACCTTAAAGGGTTACTCATCCATGTAGTCTTCTAGGTTAGGACAATGTTAGGTGGAAACCGACTGTTATTAAAATGTGCATACTGTACAGTACTGTACTTGGATTTTGGACAACCACTGAAACTGATCTCATAACATAGTGAAACAGAAAAATATGTTCATCAATGAGTGTTTAAAAAAAAAAAAAAGTCCAGATATATTCCATAGGCTACAGAAAAAAAAGGCAAACAATGGCCTAACACATCAATGAATTACTGTAATAATAATAATAATAAAAATAATAATTTTTATTTGGACATGATACATATTTGTACAAGGAATTATAGTAGTTGGGTGTACAAGCCAAAAGCCCTTTGTATGCAGAGCATTATGGGGAAGCTTAAAATTAACTTAAGATTAAATGACATAATTCAAACTATATACAACACTATCATCCACAACCATGAGAACAGTAATTTAAACTTTGTATCAGTATGATAGTCTTATTTAAGAATACACAATGATTCTCCTTTTGGATTCTATGCAATAACATACAATTTATGAAAACATACAACAAAAAAAAAACTGAAAAAAAAAAAAAAAGAATTTTATATTTAAACTTTCTCAAATAGCGAGACAAAAATTTAACACTATACATGACAAAATTGTGGTTAAACAATGTTGCTTTGCACTAAACAGTACAGTTATTAATTTTTAAAATTTTCTCACAGAAGTTTTCTTAAGTCTAACATTCTCTTGCATTGACCAGTTTCCTTGCAGCTCTAGGTGTCTTTTTAAACAGTAAATTTCTATCAATCACTTCTAAAAGGTCCCGATTCTAAAGTAAGAGCATGATGAATTTAATGAAAAACATGCCCTGTGGCCCCATGGCCTGGTGACCTGATCACTTCACACGGCGAGGATCTGCATTCGATTCCCAGGGCGGGTAGAAACATTAGGCATGTTTCTTTACACTGGTTCTCTATGTTCACCCATCAGTAAAATGGATACTTGAGTGTTAGTCGACTGGTGTGGGTCGCATCCTGGAACAAGGACCTAATTTGCCCAAAATGCTCTGCATAACAAGGGATTTTCTATATAGCAGTATGTCATTGATGTCAGCTAGGACTGTATACCGCATATGTTTGTAGATGAATGGTTCACAGAACCGACACGTTGATAAATTAGACACATGTGCAACTCTTGGGTATCTTTATTGAGGAAACGTTTTGCCACACAGTGGCTTCATCAGTCCATACACAGGAGAAGCTAGCTTCTCCTGTGTATCCTAATTTATCACTATATATGTACATGTACTTGTAGTAAATAAAGATATTATATTATTAGAATTCTTGCTGACTGAAAATTGAACCTATAGTTCCCTGCTTAATGAAGTGTTTGTCTCATGTTGAAGCATAAGGTATTTCACTACCAGTGGCTGTTTATTTAGGTATATTATTATTATAATCAAGGGGGAAGTGCTAAACCCATAGGATTATACAGTGCCTGTGGGGGGGATGTGGAAGGTATTCAGGCTTAATTCAGGGAACTGGAGCACAGATTCAATTCCCTAGATCAAGAGCCTCTCACCAGTGTCAAGGAACCTTCCTTGAGGGGTATTTAGGTATAAAATCTAAATAAAGTTAAGATATCTGAAGATATTTACTGCAATGACAACCAACAAACTCCCGCTCAATAATCGTAAGACCTTTGACAGAGTATCTGGCAAGAGCTAAAAATCTTTAGTTGAACATGTAAATAATACACACATTGAGAGTTACAATATAGGAAAATTCTTAAGAATGCATCTTGACAGCAAACTAAAATTCAACACTTACATCCAATATGCATCCAAGTAAATTTCTAAAACAGTCGGCATTCTTTCAAAGATACAATACTATGTACCTCCAACAACATTAATCACTCTGTACTACTCTATAATCTATGCTTATGGTATTTAAGCATGGAGATCTACAAACAGCAAATTGCCTAAAACCCATCATCACTCATCATCCACTATTAGAATCACTCATTCTGGTTCTAGCCAACACATCACAGCTATTCATTATTATATTCAAAACCAAGTGCTAAACCCACTAGGGTCATACAGCACTGCCACAACTATTCAAAAGTTTAAATTTACTCAACATACAAAATATCTGCATGTACTACTTACTGTTCATACTATATAAACAGGACACTCTTCTTTGGGAGCTGCAATAAAATACAGACAAATATCTCTGATATATATGCCCAAAAATATGGAACTATACCAGAAGCAAAATTTTTCTATCTGTCAATTACATCGAAAATAATAAAAAAATATGAATGTCTAATACTCTGTGGTTAGGTTAGGTAAGGTTTGTCATGAAACAGGACAAGTGTTTCCGGATGCAGGTCTTAGTCAGATGATGACCTGCAGTTGGAGTTTCTGGTCATGTGACTGGGGCCTTCCGCTGGCTTACCGGTCCACCCTTTAAAAATTATGATTATATAATCTATCTTCAACTATGTATATGTCAAGTAGATGTATATGTTAAGATGTTATTATGCCAGAAATATACAGTACTGCATAATTACTGGCTTTCCACAAAGTTTGAAACAGTATTACTGAATGTCACGTATACTTTTATAAATATTTATTTTATTTATTTATGTTAATCATAAATTAACCTAGGATAAGTAAAGTCTAAAGCCTACTACCAGTAAAACATTTCCATGTTGAAAAAATCAGTAGTACAGTATTGTATTAAGCTTATTGATGATGCTACAAGAGGAAGGATATATCCCCCAATAATATCACCCAATGGAAATTGAAATTAACACTGTAAAATACTGGCATCCTGGACATCAAACAGAATAAAAGGAACATGTGAAAGATTTGGAAATAATTATGTCAGCCGACATTTCTTTCAAAGAATATAAGACAAAAATCACGACAGCCAGGAGGATGACTGGGTAGGTATTGAGAACCTTTAAAACAAAAGAAATAATGCCAATGGTGACACTTTTCAAATCCCCAGTGCTCCCTCATTTCCGTAGCTTATTTCAATTAAGGTCCTCTCATCTGATGGGACTGCAGCAGTCATTAAGTGCCTATGCACATTACTGCAATGTGAACATAGGTAGCAAATGCAAGACTTGCACAGAAAACTTCCCCCATCAAGGAATTTAATCTGGGTCCTTTCAGTTGTGAATCAATCTACCAATGAATTAGAGGGCACACAGTTATGGATAGATGAAATGTTTGCCTCAGCCACACAAAATAAAACATGGAAAAGCAAACTTGGCAAGAAACTTCACCTCACGAATTAATGTTACAATTAATAAAGTTGTGTTACCCCAATACTATACATTACCATATCTATACAATAATGTATACTTTATCGAATAAATACACAATATATAAAAAAATACATATTTTATAATTTTATAACTTTTGTAAGAAGTACACCAATGGATTTCCATCTTTTTGAGGAATTATAGGAATATTCTAGGTTAAGTCATCATAAATTGTCACATTTGTACATGTAAGTTTCTATTCAGATACAATAAACACTATATGCAATTATTCAAGTCGTGCCAAAAGGTGTCTGATGAATGTAGCTACAGAAAGGGAGGGGAATGATTTTCTATTTTTTAGCTAACATACGTGTAAATTTTACCTTATTCCTAGTAATGACCCTCGTATTGTAGATAGTCTTAATGACCTTGGTGTAGTAGATAGTCTTTTTAGTATGATAATAAGATGTTATCTTCATTGTAGAATAATATGAAAATATTATAACCTTTATATTATAATAAGGTAAAAGGACCCCAATGGAAATAAGTCACTGTCTGACTTTTTTGGGTTATCCTAGGTTCTCTACACATATGCTATGTATGATAATTCTATGTAACTGTATTTGTGTATACCTGAATAAACTTACTTACTAAATACAAATGATTTACATGTACTGTAGTTACCAGTCCATGGCTGCCTAAATAAAACATTAAACTGAACTACCTATACCACTACATTCCTTTGAATCAAAACATATTGTTAAACACTAATCCATCAGAAAATCTGTTTTACTAAAACATTTGATAAAATGTTATGATTACAGATCTCAATCTGTCAACCTCACTCTCAGTTTATATATACATTTTCTAACGAATAAGTTACAGGATTTTAAAGAAGCATTACATGGCTTCCATAAATAATAATTTATGAGCATTATACAGAGTATAATGAAGGATAAATCTGACGATGCACGAGATGAAGATGCTGAATTGCATCTTTTGAAGTTACAAGAAAACAATGCACAATTCTGCAATTATGTGAATAAGAGACACACTGAATTTAAATAAGTGCAGTCTATGCAAATCTCACCACCAGAGAGTGTATCATGCCTACCCTGTGGATAATTATCAAAATTAAGAGTAATACAATCTCAGAGGAAGTGGGCAATTTACCAGCAGAGATACATGCGTCATGCAAGAATATCTTAATATATCTTACCTTTATAGCTTGCCCTTGAGGTAATGAGGTGTCATAAAGCTCGTCACTGCAGTTATAGTCACTTTAACACTGATAATTACCAAGAACAATCCCCAACTGGTGTAAAATAAACATGGCGCAGGTAACTGCTGACAAAGGACTTATCACTAGCAGTTACCCCGTAGAGGCGAATAATTCCCCAAATACACTTCAGGAATGGCCAGGGTAGGAAGTGTTCTTGATGGGGGGTGAGTGAGGGAAGGAGGAGAGAGGTGTGAGTGAGGTGAGTGTAGTGAGAATAAGGGACAAACTCAGCCTGAAGTGGTGAAGTGAGGGAGGTGCGCCGGGATCTGGCCCCCCCTGACACCCTTCACGCATTCCTCCACCACTAACTAACTCTCTCTTACACTCTCCTTTATAATACCCTTTTTCTCTACACCCTGGGCTGTGTAGCTCGCCGAGGAGTGCCTGTTAGGACACTGTGTGTTGCAGGTATCTGATAGTGTGGTGAGAGGGAGGGTAAATGACCGTGTGCACCGCTAAAAGTGACAAGTGTGACTGGCACTCACCAGCAGCTCAACTTAACCTTGTCACCTCCTGCAAACACCATCAGGCTCGTTGAGGCAGTTACATGCTTCTTTAAGAAACCACTGACCTACAAGCAGCTAAATTATACTTCATTTTTAAGTGGATGTGATTTGGACCTGACTGGCTTAAGCCAGTGGGTGAATTGGACCTGCCTAGTATGGGCCAGTAGGCCTGCTGCAGTGCTCCTTCTGATGTTCTTATAAGCTCATTTTGGGCAACTGCAAACCTACGGGAAACTACAAATCTTGCAACTACAGCCTTCTTCAGTGATAATTGCAAGCACCTACCAATAATGACAGGTAACGACCTGTAATTAGAGGCAATTATAACATATAGCCAACTACAGACCTAGTAACTACAGTTTTCTTTAGGAAGCTACAAATTCACAGATAACTGCACCACTACTAGCAACTACAGGCTACATTAGAGAACTACAGACCTGGGAACTACAAGCAACTACACAGACCTACAAGTAACCGCAACTTTCTACAAGTAACTACAGACCTTCTAACTACAGGCTTCTACAGTCAACTGAATTCTTCAAGAAAAGTACAGGCTCTTAATAGACAACTGCAGAAAACTATTAATGTTGGTAGCAATAACTTGTACCTAATATACAGGAAACTATAGGCTCCTACAAGCAACTACAGCATCTACAAACAACTACAGACTTTCACAGGCAACTACAGGAATGACCCTATGGCTCCCACTGCTGTAAATATATTATTGCTTTACTTCTTTTAGATAAACCATATAAAAATGCAATTACTGTACAGTACTGGTATATGTAATTCCTTTTTGTATTTAGTAATTACATAGTATTTAGCATGGGTTTAATTATATATTTCTTATAGTTAATAATTATTTATTTCCTAGAGCTATATTATTATCATAATAAAAAAAGAACTGATAAACTCACTAGGGTCATACAGTGCTGCTTCTATAGTTATACAGTGCAAAAGTAATGTTTTATGATGACTTAACCTAGCATATCATATTCTGTCTCCTTTGATATAGAGTATTGTTATTTAGAATCTATTTCTTCAAAGTGTGGTCAGATGTGGCAATACTCTACTTTATTACCTCTTTTCAGAAAGCTGATATAGAAATAAAGGAGAATAGTAACACTATTCTTTTCAATGAATCGAAAGCGGAACTCTTCAAACTAAGCGATGGATACAAGACACTTCATCGTAAATTAAAGGCTCAGTGGAAAGTTCTCAGGTACGGTAATTATAAAATTATGACATACAATACTGTATCTTACAGCTAGCTTTAAATATAAGATATTACAATGACCCCAACAGAAGTAAGTCACCTTGTCTTTTTTTGGGGTTATCCTAGGTAATTGCATGTATGTGTACCTATATCTAAATAAATGTACTTAATACTCTACCATATAAAGCAACTAAGCCTTTGTCAAAAGTTCTAAATGAATTTTGGTAATGTTTTCAGTGATAGGGAAGCAAGTGCAATTAATACATCCTTTACAGTGATGATAGCATTATGTACTTAATGATGTAAAGTTACAGTAGATTGAATAGAGTAAAGAAATTCTTGCTTGAGTTTGTTATGATTCCTTAATTGTATTAACAAACCATAGCAATCCCTTCCTTCTATGTACTATATCACAGTTGATCATTTAACCCTAGATATTCAGTCCTCATCTTGGCAGTTTATGTTGATTATTTTTGTATTAAAGTTTAATCATTAAACAGGCTAGTCTGTATATAATAATAATAATAATCTATATTTCTACATGTACAACATATACAGACCTAGTGACACCATTGACATACTACTATATAGAAAGCCACTTATTATGCAGAGCGTCATGAGCAAATTAGGTTAATTTTGTCCCCCAGGATGTGACCCACACTGATTGACTAACACCTAGGTAGTACTTATCTACTGCTAGGTAAACAGGGACAGCAGGTGTCTTAAGGAAACATACTTGACTGTTTCCACCCATACTAGGGATTGAACCATGGACCTCAGTGTGTGAGATGAGTGCGCTAGCAGGCGAACTACGGGTCACGATACATTCTCGTATTAATTAAAATAGATTATACTTTGTATTAGCACAGTAAAGCATAGTGCCAGTGCCAAAATAATTTTGATTTGTGATGCAACTGTTTTATTCTGTTTTACATAATCATCTTCATCTTCCAGTAATCGTGATGACTTGACCAAGGAAAATTTGGGTCAAGCAGGAGTAATTGTTTTTGCTTGCCCTCGGCAAAGACTAACAGAAGTCCAGTTTGCTATCTTGAGGCACCATGTGGATGAAGGGGGAAGCCTTTTTGTCATGGCTGAGGAAGGAGGAGAAAAGAAGGCTAATACAAATATTAATTTTCTTTTAGAAGAGTATGGCATTGCTGTGAACAATGGTGAGTGTTACCTTTCATTATTTAAAGCAAACCTCATATTTGTTAGTGAAATTTATATTAAGCTTTTAATTTTTCTATATACAGTGGACCCCCGGTTAACGATATTTTTTCATTCCAGAAATATGTTCAGGTGCCAGTACTGACCAAATTTGTTCCCATAAGGAATATTGTGAAGTAGATTAGTCCATTTCAGACCCCCAAACATACACGTACAAACGCACTTACATAAATACACTTACATAATTGGTCGCATTGGGAGGTGATTGTTAAGCGGGGGTCCACTGTATATTGGGGTTTCAGCTAAAAGTGAAGATATATGTACGTATTCGATTTTCATAACCACTCATATGAAAGGGTGACTTGAGTCACTGTATTTTTTTTTAATTATGGGAAGTATTAAACCCATAGGGAACATATAGTTCCTGGGGAATAGAAGACATTCACGTTCAATCCAAGGAAGGGGAGAAAAAGTCCAGCTCCTTGGATCAAGAGCCCCTCATTGGCATCAGAGCACCTCTGTGGGCTAATTCTTATAGCTTCAGGGGCTCTTGATCCAAGGATTAGAACTGTCCTCCCTTTAGATTAAACCAGATTACCTCCAGTTCTCCCAAGTGCTGTATAATCCCTGCATTGGTTTAATAACACTTCATGATTGTAATAATAATAATAATAAATAATAATAATGCAAGTGTTTTTGATGTACATACTGTATGTACCTGTACTGTCATCCTTACACATTTGCTGGGATGTTACATTTCTAGAAGCTCTACAAAACCAAAAATCATGAATAATGCAAAATTAAGTTTACATACTGTAATTTTTTTTCAGATCCGGGTTCATTTTGTGTTTCAGAGACTATGCAGTATCTCTGTAATACTATATATCACTAATCTGGTTAATATTTACATTCCCAAGAAATACTGACCAGAGTGAAAAGAGATTTTGGCATAGGAAACCCATTGAGCCTGATACAAGTTAGATGACTGAATCTATTCCCAGGTTGCCCAACAGTAAAAATATCAGGTAAATGAAATCTGCAAACACAGAAGCCTGTGAATTTGTAGGAATGACTGTAATCAGTAAATTCTTAAGCCCTCACAGCAATCACATCATACAATGTGGGCGTTAATTTTTTACAAGATGGATCTGTTGTATGACCAAAATCTCCTGTTGGCAGGACATCATGTGAATAAAACCCGTATCTCAAAATGCTTGTCTTGTTTCCTGATGAATAGACTACCATCACCACCATCAGTTACTCCAGTGTCATAATTACAAGGTCGCTGACGGTGCAAGCCCTTACGATATTTCAAAAAAATAATACAGAAGGAATAGGCAAAAAAAAATATGTTCAGTAGAAGCACTTTATATTGTTAATACAGTATATATGCTTAATTAAGAACTCCTTGGGGAAGTGGAACAGAATGCTTCCTCCGTAAGCCATGTGTGTTCGAAGAGGCAACTAAAATGCCAGGAGCAAGGGGCTAGCAGTCCTTTCTCCTGTATGCATAACTAAATTTAAAAAGAGAAACTTTTGTTTTTCTTTTAAGGTCACCCTGCCTCGTTGGGATATGGCCAGTTCTTTGAAAAAAAAAAAAACATATATGGTAGTCTCAACCTGTAACATGTAAGACAATAATGTACATACGCTAGTATGGTAAGGAATGTGGACATTACCATCATCATTGCTTCATTCAATTTATGCTGAGAATGCATAGGAATATTGCGAGGATGTATTAAAGAATAACATGGTTTAGAGTGACATCTAAACTGTCGCTTTATCTGCTTCTTCAAAGTGGGAGACGGTCAACATGTTAAAAAAACAAATGAGTAGTAAATGCAAAGTTGGAGTGAGGAACTAACCTTTCTAAATGCTGGAGATTACGAGTTTTGTAATAAAGGTATAAAATTTTTTTCAGATTCGGTGGTGCGGACATGCTACTACAAATACTTTCATCCCAAAGAATGCCTTATTACCAATGGAATCCTTAACAGGGCTATTTTGGAGGCCTCAGGAAAGAATATTCCCGGCTTACTCCTTGATGACACACTCTCGGGCAGGTTAGTTTAGATGCTAACAGACCTGTAGTTTATTACATACTTTAATATTTCAAATTTCTAAAGTCAGAATTCACATGCTGTTCAAACATCCATTGGTCTGTGGTTCATTTAGTATTGTTAAGTATTGTACTGTATTGCTGTTTTATTTTTGTACATTGTTGATCTCTAATTGGATTCTCCAGAGTTTTTAAACAACTTTTGCCCTCTTCCTTTCTGAACTTTGCTTTTAGCATAATAATCCTTGTTAAGTATCCCTGAATAATTAGGTATCCCTAAGTGGTTCACAGGTTTATTTTTCTTTTACCTCCAAAGTTTTTACTTAAAACTTGAAGCGTGTATCAGTGCTTCAGAATTCTTACATTAGTATTAAATTTGTAGCTACATACTACAGCTGTATGATTATTACAGGTGGCCCTCCACATTCGTGAGTTCCACTTTCACGAGCTTCGAACATTTGCGAATGTCCAGCCACCCAATCATAACATGTATACAATATTTTATGATGTTTTCGTGTGTTTTATGAATGTTTGTGGCTCAAGAGGTTAAGGAAGCAGTATTGTTAGGCTAAGTAAATGGTATTACTCAAGATTCGTTAGGTTCTTGATCCCCTAACCCTCGCGAATGTGAAGGGCCGTCTGTATTATTATTATTAGTAGTAGTAGTAGTAGTAGTTATAATTATTAGAATGTACAATGTTAGGTCTCATATACATTTTTGTCAGAATACTTTAGAAGTAAACACATTATTATTTTATTTTTTTATTTTTTTTTATTTTTTTTTATTATCACACTGGCCGATTCCCACCAAGGCAGGGTGGCTCGAAAAAGAAAAACTTGCACCATCATTTACTCCATCACTGTCTTGCCAGAAGGGTGCTTTACACTACAGTTTTTAAACTGCAACATTAACACCCCTCCTTCAGAGTGCAGACACTGTACTTCCCATCTCCAGGACTCAAGTCCGGCCTGCCGGTTTCCCTGAACCCCTTCATAAATGTTACTTTGCTCACACTCCAACAGCACGTCAAGTATTAAAAACCATTTGTCTCCATTCACTCCTATCAAACACGCTCACGGATGCCTGCTGGAAGTCCAAGCCCCTCGAACACAAAACCTCCTTTACCCCCTCCCTCCAACCTTTCCTAGGCCGACCCCTACCCCGCCTTCCTTCCACTACAGACTGATACACTCTTGAAGTTATTCTGTTTCGCTCCATTCTCTCCACATGTCCGAACCACCTCAACAACCCTTCCTCAGCCCTCTGGACAACAGTTTTGGTAATCCCGCACCTCCTCCTAACTTCCAAACTACGAATTCTCTGCATTATATTCACACCACACATTGCTCTCAGACATGACATCTCCACTGCCTCCAGCCTTCTCCTCGCTGCAACATTCATCACCCATGCTTCACACCCATATAAGAGCGTTGGTAAAACTATACTCTCATACATTCCCCTCTTTGCCTCCAAGGACAAAGTTCTTTGTCTCCACAGACTCCTAAGTGCACCACTCACCCTTTTCCCCTCATCAATTCTATGATTCACCTCATCTTTCATAGACCCATCCACTGACACGTCCACTCCCAAATATCTGAATACATTCACCTCCTCCATACTCTCTCCCTCCAATCTGATATCCAATCTTTCATCACCTAATCTTTTTGTTATCCTCATAACCTTACTCTTTCCTGTATTCACTTTTAGTTTTCTTCTTTTGCACACCCTACCAAATTCATCCACCAATCTCTGCAACTTCTCTTCAGAATCTCCCAAGAGCACAGTGTCATCATCAAAGAGCAACTGTGACAACTCCCACTTTATGTGTGATTCTTTATCTTTTAACTCCACGCCTCTTGCCAAGACCCTCGCATTTACTTCTCTTACAGCCCCATCTATAAATATATTAAACAACCATGGTGACATCACACATCCTTGTCTAAGGCCTACTTTTACTGGGAAATAATTTCCCTCTTTCCTACATACTCTAACTTGAGCCTCACTATCCTCGTAAAAACTCTTCACTGCTTTCAGTAACCTACCTCCTACACCATACACCTGCAACACCTGCCACATTGCCCCCCTATCCACCCTGTCATACGCCTTTTCCAAATCCATAAATGCCACAAAGACCTCTTTAGCCTTATCTAAATACTGTTCACTTATATGTTTCACTGTAAACACCTGGTCCACACACCCCCTACCTTTCCCTACCTACATTATTATTATTATAATCAAAACTAAGTGCTAAACCCACAAGTGGTAGAAGTAAATACACCATAATTGACACAGGTGACCAGCAGGATGCTGGATGTTCACCCTGTGATGTCATGTGATGCCACATGCTAACTCTCTGTTCCCTTCCCTTCCCTAAGTTAAACCTGATCATCTCCCATCCCCATGTGCTTTATAACCCTTATTGGTTTAGCACTTCACCAGGAATATATTAATCATTACTGGGATGTCACTATGTAGGGATATATAATATCAGTATACATATATAGCTTGTACTGCAGTATAATTGTTTAATGCTGATTTTTAATGTGCTTTGAAATTTATATTAGATTATGGTTACTTTCCTTGCATATAGGTTTTAATTCATTATGGACTTACACAGAAAGAGGGGTCACAGTCTTTGGCATGTACACTGGAACCTCGGCACTTGAACTTAATTGGGTCCAGAAGGCTGTTCGAGTGCTGATCTGATCGAGTACAGAACTTATTTTTCCCAACCAATTTTCTTTTTGGTTGACTGCTATCACTAACCCTCTTAGGTTCCATGGTGACTTATTTATACAAATAATATAAAAAACACCAAAAAATACATAGAAACACGAAATAGTTTACAGTGACGTTCTGGCAGGTCGTATTTGTTTGGTCGTGTGCCAAGCAAATGGTCGACTACCGAGCGATTTGTTTACCAAACAAAGCATTTGAATACCGAATTGTACGAGTAGGGAGCTATTTGAGCACCTATTTTTTTTAACTGTATTGGTCATCTCCCACCAAGGTAGGATTTCCCAAATAAATTAAACATTCACCCTCATTCATTCAACAGCTCTCTTGTCATAAGTGCACAGATATCACATTTCAGATAGCCTTCCAGACTGCAATATTCCCCACCCCTCCTTTAGAATGCAGCTAGTGTGCTCCCTTCCTCCAGGTGCTGCTGCAGTATTTTACAGAGTATTTTTTTGTATTATTAGCTAATAATTGTGAATGTCATGACCAAGACATTTCCAATAATTATTTTTAGCCTTATACCTTGCATGTATGTACAGTATTGTGAGTGAACAGCTTGCCCTGGCTTGGGGCCTAATCCATAAATAAAAAATGAAAACTAAATTTTTTGCATCTTTTTCTGCTTTTGAAATTTAGAGCATGGATGTTTCTTTTGATCTTGTATATAAATGAGCAAGAGAATAAATTTAAGTTTCACTAGTATTTCATTCTTCAACATTATTATTAAAGCTAGTTATTAATCCAGTTTATAAGTGCAAAATTTTTTCAGGTCGATGTCATTCATATATCCATTTGGGGCTACCCTCAATGTTGCTCGTCCTGCTGTTGCTGTGCTGTCCACAGGCAGTATTTCTTTTCCTCTTAACAGACCAGTAAGAATTGTGCCTATTTCTGTCTTTGTTAATCTGATATACCATTACATAATTCAAGGAAGATAGGCCCTTGCATGCACTTTAATCAGCACTTCATATGCAGCTTTATCTCACTATCTCATGTGGAATAATGTTTAAGGGAGGTGGTCTGAATTATATAAAATTCAGAAAAATATGAAAATAATAATAATATAATAATACTAATATCTTTATTTACTACAAGTTCATGGTATACAGGCATAGCTGACATCATTGACATACTACTATATAGAAAGCCCCTTGTTATGCTGAGCATTTCAGGCAAATTAGGTCAGTTTTGTCCCAGGTTACGACCCACACCAATCGACTAACACCCAGGTACCCATTTTAAACTTATGGGTGAACAGGTACAGCAGGTGTCTTATGGAAACACGTCCCTAATGTTTTCCAGCCGTATCGGAGGTGATTTGAACTTTGGACGTCAGTGTGTGAGCTGAGTGCACTAGCGATCGAGCTATGAGACACCTGTTCCTTATTTTGATCAAAAATCAGAATTAGTGAGATTTTCCTGAGTATCATTCAGAATTTAGCAGATGACACAGTTCTTACAAAAGATTCTGAGGGAAAATTGCAAAGGTTGGTGGGGGAGTTTGAGAGGGTGCATAGAAGAAGGAAATTAAATGTGAGCATAGAAAAAGCATGGTGACCAAAGAAACAAAAAAGTCTATGAAATGAAAGATTGGGTACCAGATTGGAGGGGAAAAGTATGGGAGAAGTGAGTGTATTTAGATTTATAAGAGTGAATATGTCAACATATGGATCTGTGAAAGATGAGGGTGGCCATAGATTAGATAAGAGGAGGGAAATAAGTGGAATGTTCAGACGTATATGGAAAGGGGAATATAGTACAGGTGCTCCTTGACTTATGATGGTCTTATGTATGATATTTGGACTTTAGGTGGTGCAAAAGCAATTACTTTGGAGATGAAACTTAAGATAATTACCTAGCATGAAGTCAGCAAGTCCATAACTCATATTCATTTATTTATATTTCAGTGCTGGTATTTAGTTAACTACAATAATTATTTGTTTATTTACTTATTCAGTATTAGCAGTTATTTATCTACTTATTTAGTGTATCATATTCATATTAGACTTACGATGGGTTCGCCAGAACGTTACCCCATCATAAATCAAGGAGCACCTGTGCTCGAGTACAGTGGTACCAACAGTTGTACGTAAGTGTGAGGCATAATCTTTAAACATTGCAAAGAACAGGAGACTGGAGTCATTGGAGACAGTGCATTTGAAACTAGTGCATGACATGAATGCAGTAGTGTCCCCGTATTTGCGGGGGATATGTTCCAAGACATACTGTGGATAGTAGCGAATCCTAAGTATAAGTCATCTTTTGTTTACATACATATGTGATAAAGTTTAATTGATAAATTACTCACAGTAAGTGGAGAATTTTCACATTTTCACTGATGGGAAACACTTCACGACTTCTCTTAGGCTTTGAAGAAGTGCTACTATCACTACTTTTGCACTTCGGGTCCATTATTAAGCAAAATTAAGGGTTATTTTTGGGCCACTTTAAACTGTAGATAACTGAAACCATGGAAACCAAATCTGTGGATATGGGACTTCTGCTATATTGTGAAGAGAATTTGGAGTATAGAAATTAGATGATGGTATGGAATTACAAAAATCTAATACAGAGAGCAGAAGCATTTTCAAGATAGCTTGTTCATTTTTACAGGATGAAGCAGGATAGGATGACTAAGAGGTTGTATAAATTGTTATGTATTATACGGGTGTTCCTTTGGTTATGAAATAGATGTGTTCCAAGCCTATAGCACAAACAGAACACAAAGTACACAGCATAAGCATAAGAGTGGATTTATATCACATAGGGAATCACTGGCAGAAATAGTCATATTATAAAAGTGAATTTACACAGTGAACTCACTTATGTGAGTTCGCTTTGTACATTGTACATGTGCATCATCCTAGCACATCTGCTGTTGCTCAGTTGCAAGAGCATAAAGAAAAACAAATAATGCCTGAATCAGAGATAGGAACCTAGAATATGCATATTTAAAACTCTAATGTCCTCACATATCAGATAAAGAATTATAGCTTGGTATCCATCAGGGCACAACATTCATTTCAGATTCTTTGTATATACTAAGGCATTGGGACAACTGTTACTTCAGTTTCTATATACAACTGTACATCATTGGGACATGGCATTTGGTTCAGCTTCTATATACTAAGGCATCAGGACACACAAATCCACACTATACTTTTTTGACATCTTTATAGTTACTTTCTCTTCAACCATCCTTCAAAAATTGCTGGTACACCTCATTAGTAATCCTTTTCTTTAATTTGTCCAACTTCATTTCTCTTTTAATTATTAACATTATTCTCCTTAAATGTAAAAGCGTTCCCTCTGAACATTTTATCCACTAGGATATAATCCAGCAAACTTCTCTCTTCAGGCACTTTATCATATCTTATACAGGATATGTACCTACAGTGAAATCTTGGTATAACAATCTACTAGAGTGGGGAGGGTGTCCATATAAACACAGATCCATTGTATTGTAGTGCCCGAGACAATGGGTTATTGAGGCTAGGACTTTGGGTAGTTTCAAATTTAGGTTGGATAAGTACATGAGTGGGAGGGGTTGGATTTGAGTGGGATTTGCACATCAGAGCTTATTTCTTGGGTAGCATTGAAAATTGGGTTGGTCAAATGTTTTGTTAGTGGGATGAATTGTAAAGGACCTGCCTAGTATGGGCCAACAGGCCTGCTGCAGTGTTCCTCCTTTCTTATGTTCTTACGTATTGTATGGATAGCTACTGGACAAGCATGCTATTTATCATGCTAAAGGACAAAATCTTGTTGCAGCAGACTTAATCCATTGCATTTAATATTTGTACAGCCAATTATTTTGTCCACTATATCCGAAATCCATATCAGAGGCGTACGTGAGGTTTTATTGCATATTCGTATTTTCTTAAAATGTACATTGCCTATTTCCAAACCACTTTCTAAGTATTTTTTTTTTATTATCACACCGGCCGATTCCCACCAAGGCAGGGTGGCCCGAAAAAGAAAAACTTTCACCATCATTCACTCCATCACTGTCTTGCCAGAAGGGTGCTTTACACTACAGTTTTTAAACTGCAACATTAACACCCCTCCTTCAGAGTGCAGGCACTGTACTTCTAAGTATAACTCAATTTAAGGTTTTGTAGTGTTAGTTACACCAGGCACTCTTGTACATTCTACATCACCTTCTCTAATGAATAAAGCATTGAAAAATATTCACTGATTCTTCAGCAACTTTCAGATGTATGTACACACGAAATCTATTGTGAATACGAGTCATTACTTTGCTCTTAGATTGTTTACATTATATGAATGATCTATATTATTGCTTTGTTTACAGGTGTGTGCCTTTTATGAGCACCCGAGAAGTCACGGCCGCGTGGCAGTATTAGGTTCGGCACATATGTTCACTGACCATTATATCGATCGTGAAGAAAACAGCAAAATTAAGGATGTGATATTCCAGTTTCTCACAGCTAAAGATTTCAAGCTAAATCAGATTGACGCTGATGATCCTGAGGTTTATATGAAATTTTTGGTCTTGTTGAAGTAGTTAAGCATTACTTTCATTATTCTAGAGCAAGTTAAGGGAATAGTTGAGAAGTTACATTGATGTGATCACTGAAATTAAACATAAATTCAGTTGATATAAATTATTTTAGTTGATTCGCTTAAAAAATAAATGTATGTAAATTTCCAGTATAGTACAGTAAACTTGTATATAATAAGTCATAAATATTTCTGGAAACCACTACCCTGAAGAAAAACTACCATTTGCACTTTGAATACCTAATAGTTCATATGCAGTAAGGTCCCAGTTTACATGCTGGTAAATACACCTACCATCCGACTTACGACCGAGTTCGGTTCCGAGAAATCGGTCGTAAGTCGAAATGGTCGTAAGTTGAACTTTACTACTGAATATCAACAAAACATTTTTGTAATGACTTTATTTTGTTGTTTTATTTTGGTATTTCATGTTTTACTTTACTTTTTATGTTGTTAGTACTGTATTTTATACTGTAAGGTTTAGGATAAACACTGTGTACAACACAAATAGTTGTTTATTTCCCAGAAATTTGGCATAAAAAACACGGTCGTAAGTCAAGTGGTCGTAAGTCGAGCAGGTCGTAAGTCGGATGGTAGGTGTACTTTAGAATGGGTAGGGGATGTGTAGATCAAGTGTTTACATTGAAGCATATATGTGAACAGTATTTAGATAAAGGTAGGGAAGTTTTCATTGCATTTATGGATTTAGAAAAGAATTATGATAGAGTGGATAGGGGAGCAATGTGGCAGATGTTGTAAGTATATGGAATAGGTGGTAAGTTACTAAATGCTGTAAAGAGTTTTTATGAGGATAGTGAGGCTCAGGTTAGAGTACGTAGGAGAGAGGGAGACTACTTCCCGGTAAAAGTAGGTCTTAGGGATGTCTAGTGTCACCATGGTTGTTTAATATATTTATAGGTGGGGTTATAAAAGAAGTAAATGCTAGGGTGTTGGGGAGAGGAGTGGGATTAAATTATGGGGAATCAAGTACAAAATGGGAGTTGACACAGTTACTTTTTGCTGATGATACTGTGCTTATGGGAAATTCTAAAGAAAAGTTGCAAAGGTTAGTAGACGAGTTTGGGAGGGTGTGTAAAAGTAGAAAGTTGAAAGTGAACATAGATAAGAGTAACGTGATGAGGGTATCAAATGATTTAGATAAAGAAAAATTGGATATCACATTGGAGAGAGGGGGTATGGAAGAAGTGAATGTTTTCAGATATTTGGGAGTTGACATGTCAGCGGATGGGTTTATGAAGGATGAGATTAACCATAGAACTGATGAAGGAAAAAAGGTGAGTGGTGCATTGAGGTATCTGTGGAGACAAAAAACGTTATCTATGGAGGCAAAGAAGGGAATGTATGAAAGTATAGTGATACCAACATTCTTATATGGGTATGAAGCTTGGGTTGTAAATGCTGCAGCAAGGAGGCAGCTGGAGGCAGTGGAGATGTCCTGTCTAAGGGCAATGTGTGATGTAAATATTATGTAGAGAATTCGGAGTGTGGAAATTTGGAGGAGGTGTGGAGTTACTAAAAGTATTAATCAGAGTTCTGAAGAAGTGTTGTTGAAGTGGTTTTGTCATTTAGATAGAATATATCAAAGTAGAATAACTTGGAGAGCATATAAATCTGTAGGGAAAGGAAGGAGGGGTAGGGGTCGTCCTCGAAAAGTCTGGGGGAGGGGGTAAAGGAGGTTTTGTGGGTGAGAGGCTTTGACTTCCAGCAAGCGTGTGTGAGCATGTTAGATAGGAGTGAATGGAGAGGAATTGTTTTTAGGACTTGACGAGCTGTTGGAGTGTGAGCAGGGTAATATTTAGTGAAGTGATTAAGGGAAACCCATTATTATAGATTTAGCCAGATTAGAGTCCTGGAAATGGGAAGTACAATGCTTGCACTTTAAAGGAGGGGGTCTGGGATATTGACAGTTTGGAGGGACTTCTAAACTGTCGTATCTGAGCGCCTCTGCAAAGACTGATTGTGTATGAGTGAGGTGAAAGTGTTAAATGATGATGAAAGTATTTTCTTTTTGGTGATTTACTTTCTTTTTGGGTCACCTTTCCTTGGTGAGAGATGGCCGACTTGTTAAAAAAAAATAATAACTATCAACATCATTCTTCACATTTTGGTAGACCTGATTTCCTGAAGTTAAATATCTTGCAAACAGTAGGAGCTGTGACATTACTGTACTGATGTAGAATGTTGTAGGTTCATCTGTGGATGTTATAAGACAGACTTTAGATGTTACTGGTGGTGTCGATTCAACAAAATTCTGCAGTTTATGTCTGCCTTTGTGGTAACCTATATTAATACATAGAACTGGTAGTGTAAGTTATTCCACCCTTATTCATGTACCTTTGTAATCCTTTGACCATCACCCACAGGATGGATGTTGGGTGCATAATAAAGCTATTTATTAACCCTTTCAGGGTCCAAACCGTAGATCTATGCCAAAATTCTAGCGGTGTCAAATTTAGCGCGAAAAGGCTGGTAGGCCTAAATGTGAGAGAACGGGTCTGCATGGTGTGTGTGCGCCATAAACAAAAATTCTAGGCGCCCGCATAGCATTGTGGGAACACCAGCTCAGTTACCTTTGTTCACCATGCCTCGTCGCAAGACAGCTCTCACTCCAAGGAAAATTGGGACTCTCCTCTTCCTATCTGATAGTTCTGACTCTGATGGAAGTGGAAATGAAGACGAATTCTTTGGCTTTGATCAGTTAGTGACCGAAAGGAATGACCAGGATATCGATAATAGTGCAGAAAACCCTGACAATCCTCAACCTTCTGCCTCTGGTGTGGGCACTCCTCAGTCATGGTCAGTTGTACCTCATCACAAGAGAAAACTATTATTTTCGTGTGCCGAGGCCTCTGACTTCAGTAATGATGATGATAGTGACGTGGATTGTGATTTTATTGCTCTTGACGATCATTCGAGTAGTGATAGTGAGGAAACATATTCACCAGTGAAGCGTCGGTATATACGCTGCCGCATGCGCTCGGGTAGTGTTCCGTATGCAGTGCTCAGGGGACGGAGTACATCCCGGAGTACATCCGGTGGCCCTACACCAGGAATAGACAGTGAAAGTGAGGATGATGTGGCTACACTTGGCATGGATAGACCACAGGCATCAGTAGGTGGTGGTAGTAGTGATGGTAGTGCCACAGCCATGCATGACTCACCAGCCCAGGCTGGGACCCACGCTGCTGACTCCTCAGTTCAAGGACAAAAAGGAGCGTCAGCCACCAGCCCACCACAACCACAACTACCCGCACAACCAGCCTATGATGTCCAGTATCCACCAGCAAACCGTATCTGGGATAGGCAGCAAAATCCCAATTTTGTTCCCAAGCCCCACCACTTTGATGACTCTCAAAGTGGAATTCTACTTACTTGTCCCCTTGGAACCATGACCAATGAACTGGAATTCTTTGAACTATTCTTTGACCAGTCCTTGATGGAAACTGTTGTCAGGGAAAGTAACAAGTATTTTGAGTACACCATGGCAAATATGATCATATTACCAGTCAAGACTACACCGGTGGAAAGAGACGACTGTTGCAGAAATGTATTTGCTTTTTGCAACAATAATGCTTATGCCTCATGTCTATAAGCATAATATAAAAGCATACTGGTCCACAGATCGGCTAATTTCTACCCCGGTCTTCAGTGAAATCATCCCAGTGAACAGGTTTATCTTACTGTTACATATGTTGCACTTCTCTGACAAAACCAGGCCTGACAGAAGTGACAGGTTATACAAGATTAGAAATGTTTTTATGTATCTGAAACAAAAGTTCAACATGTACTTTTATCCATTCAAGAATCTTGTAATTGACGAGTCTTTGATTTTGTTCAAAGGTAGACTGTCGTTCAAGCAGTATATACCGAGCAAGAGGAAACGCTTTGGTATAAAATGTTTATACTCTGTGACTGTGACAGTGGCCTGGTATTGGATATTGTTGTATACATGGGATGTAAAACATTGAAAGATACCAGGATGTTATTGGGTATCTCAGGTGACATAGTGAGAAGCATGATGGCACCTTATCTTGGTATGGGGCATACATTATATGTATACCGATAACTGGTACACAAGTCCTTTACTCAGTGATTTCTTGCGAGTGAACAAGACAGATGTGTGTGGCACAGTGCGTTCTAATCGTAAATATATGCCCAGGTTCAACGCAGGTGCTCGTGGTGATGAGGTGCAGGTGTTTACTGCCAATGACATCATGGCATTATGGTGGCATGACAAACAAGATGTCACATTGTTGACAACCATTCACCATAACAAAATGCAAGACAGTGGCAAAGTTGATAGAATGACTAATGAACATATTCGAAAACCAGCGACAGTGATTGGTTTTACACAAAACATGCGCTTGGTTGACAAATGTGACATGCAGATTTGCTTTGTTGATTGTGTTCGTAAGAGTTATAAGTGGTACATGAAACTTTTCTTCCATCTCATGGACATTTCAATGCTCAATGCATATAATATGTACCAAATGAAGACTGGCAACAGACCACCGTATGGTGAATTTTGTTTGTCTGTTGTCAGACAACTCATAATGAAGTACCAGGTAACAACACCTGCTATACAACAAGGTCCTCGAACTCCTCAGAATACACCCAAGCGTATGAGGAGGGAAGGTGATCATTTCATAATACAGCTTCCTGCAACTAAGAAGAAATTTGCTCAGAGATGCATTGTCTGTGCACCAACAAAGACGCAAAGATACTCGGTTTATGTGTGAGGAATGTAAGGTACCTCTGTGCATGGTGCCTTGTTTCAAGGAGTTCCACAAGCTCCAGCAGTTCTAAAAACATGTCCAGTGATTGTAAATATGTAAATATATGATAGAACATTAGTATTATACAAGATTTGTGCATGTTTATTGTAATAACAAAAGTGGTAAACAATAATATGATAATAACTTTAGTGCGGTTATTGTGTTCAATACAGTGAGTTTATATATATGCATTATATACAGTATTGGTCTCTCAGGCCCCAAATGTTAGTAGGAAAAGAAAAATTAGAAAAGAAAAGAAAAAACTACAAAAAACGTAAAATAAAGTAATGCGCGTTTGCGGAAATCATCGATATTGCCACCTCCCGGTCATTTTGGGTCACCTTCTCGGCACTATATCTCGATAAGTACTGACCAGAAATTTTTTTTTGTTTTATTACCTTCACAAAAATATACTCTTTAATTCTGTAAGAAAAAATAATTTTTTTTTTTTTTTTTTCAAAATTCCTTGGACACTGGGGCACCACTTCAGATTTTGGCCTTGGACCCTGAAAGGGTTAAGATCTGTAAAGAGAACTTAAATCTCATGAAAGTCAGGTAGACTCTCCCTCATGATTGCTAGTGAAAGCTGATTCTCCTCTTCCTACTCCTCTGTTTTATATCATCCAACAAATTTCTGTAAGTCGTGTGTTCAAGAAGCCCTCATTGACTGCACTCGTTTCCAGCTCTATAATGTCGCTCACACTCGCTCTTTAGTGTGAGAAAACCTTGAAATTTATTCATGACATTATGCAGTAATTTTTGTTAAAGGATATTTAAACAAAATTGCTTGTTTTATCCCATTATGACTTCATATATGAAATTATTATGAATGCTTGTATATGGATGTGAAGCATGGGTTGTAAATGTTGCAGCAAGGAGGAGGTTGGAGATGTCGAGGAGGTGGAGTTGTTGAGTCTGAGGGCAATGTGTGGTGTGTGTGAATATTATGCAGAGAATTCATAGTGTGGAAATTAGGAGGAGGTGTGAAGTATTATTATTCAGAGGGCTGAAGAGGGGTTGTTTAGGTGGTTTGGTCATTTACAAAGGATGGAGGAAAATAGGATGACTTGGAGGGTGTATAAATCTGTAGTGAAGGAGAGGAGAGGTAGAGGTTGTCCTAGGAAAGGATGGAGGGAAGGGGTAAAAGAGGTTTTGTGTGAAAGGGGCCTAGACATGCAGCAGGCATGTGTGAGCATGTTACATAGGAGTGAATGGAGATGAATGGTTTTTAGGACCTGATGAGCTGTTGGAGTGTGAGCAGGGTAACATTTTGTGAAGGGATTCAGGGAAACTGGTTAGCCAGATTTCAGTCCTGGAGATGGGAAGTACAATACCTGCACTTTAAAGGAGGGGGTTGGGACATATTGGCTGTTTGGAGTGACATCTAAACTGTTGTATCTGTGCACCTCTGCAAAGACAGTGATTATGTATTAATGATAGTGAGAGTGTTTGTTTCTTTTTTGGGTCATCCTGCCTTGGTAGGAGACAGCCAGCGTGTTAATATATATATATATATAACGTATATATATATCTAGGTAGTAGGTTGGTAGACAGCAACCGCCCAGGGAGGTACTACCGTCCTGCCAAGTGAGTGTAAAACGAAAGCCTGTAATTGTTTTACATGATGGTAGGATTGCTGGTGTCCTTTTTTTCTGTCTCATAAACATGCAAGATTTCAGGTACGTCTTGCTACTTCTACTTACACTTAGGTCACACTACACATGCATGTACAAGCATATATATGTATATATACACATCCCTCTGGGTTTTCTTCTATTTTCTTTCTAGTTCTTGTTGTTGTTTATTTCCTCTTATCTCCATGGGGAAGTGGAACAGAATTCTTCCTCCGTAAGCCATGCGTGTTGTAAGAGGCGACTAAATGCCAGGAGCAAGGGGCTAGTAACCCCTTCTCCCGTATAAATTACTAAATTTAAAAAGAGAAACTTTCGTTTTTCTTTTTGGGCCACCCCGCCTTGGTGGGATACGGCCGGTTTGTTGAAAAAAAAAAAAAAAATATATATATATATATATATATATATACAATGTATATATATATATATATATATATATAATATATATATATATATATATAATATATATATATATATATATATATATATATATATATATATATATATATATGTGTGTGTGTGTGATGTCACCGTGGTTGTTTAATATATTTATAGATGGGGTTGTAAGAGAAGTAAATGCGAGGGTCTTGGCAAGAGGCGTGGAGTTAAAAGATAAAGAATCACACACAGGGTGGGAGTTGTCACAGCTGCTCTTTGCTGATGACACTGTGCTCTTGGGAGATTCTGAAGAGAAGCTGCAGAGATTGGTGGATGAATTTGGTAGGGTGTGCAAAAGAAGAAAATTAAAGGTGAATACAGGAAAGAGTAAGGTTATGAGGATAACAAAAAGATTAGGTGATGAAAGATTGAATATCAGATTGGAGGGAGAGAGTATGGAGGAGGTGAACGTATTCAGATATTTGGGAGTGGACGTGTCAGCGGATGGGTCTATGAAAGATGAGGTGAATCATAGAATTGATGAGGGAAAAAGAGTGAGTGGTGCACTTAGGAGTCTGTGGAGACAGAGAACTTTGTCCTTGGAGGCAAAGAGGGGAATGTATGAGAGTATAGTTTTACCAACGCTCTTATATGGGTGTGAAGCATGGGTGATGAATGTTGCAGCGAGGAGAAGGCTGGAGGCAGTGGAGATGTCATGTCTGAGGGCAATGTGTGGTGTGAATATAATGCAGAGAATTCGTAGTTTGGAAGTTAGGAGGAGGTGCGGGATTACCAAAACTGTTGTCCAGAGGGCTGAGGAAGGGTTGTTGAGGTGGTTCGGACATGTAGAGAGAATGGAGCGAAACAGAATAACTTCAAGAGTGTATCAGTCTGTAGTGGAAGGAAGGCGGGGTAGGGGTCGGCCTAGGAAGGGTTGGAGGGAGGGGGTAAAGGAGTTTTGTGTGCGAGGGGCTTGGACTTCCAGCAGGCATGCGTGAGCGTGTTTGATAGGAGTGAATGGAGACAAATGGTTTTTAATACTTGACGTGCTGTTGGAGTGTGAGCAAAGTAACATTTATGAAGGGATTCAGGGAAACCGGCAGGCCGGACTTGAGTCCTGGAGATGGGAAGTACAGTGCCTGCACTCTGAAGGAGGGGTGTTAATGTTGCAGTTTAAAAACTGTAGTGTAAAGCACCCTTCTGGCAAGACAGTGATGGAGTGAATGATGGTGAAAGTTTTTCTTTTTCGGGCCACCCTGCCTTGGTGGGAATCGGCCAGTGTGATAATAAAAAAAAAATAAATATATTAAATTATGGGGAATCAAATTCAAAATGGGAATTGACACAGTTACTTTTTGCTGATGATACTGTGCTTATGGGAGATTCTAAAGAAAAATTGCAAAGGTTAGTGGATGAGTTTGGGAATGTGTGTAAAGGTAGAAAGTTGAAAGTGAACATAGAAAAGAGTAAGGTGATGAGGGTGTCAAATGATTTAGATAAAGAAAAATTGGATATCAAATTGGGGAGGAGGAGTATGGAAGAAGTGAGTGTTTTCAGATACTTGGGAGTTGACGTGTCGGCGGATGGATTTATGAAGGATGAGGTTAATCATAGAATATATATATATATATATATATATTTTTTTTTTTTTTTTTTTTTCAAGTCGGTCGTCTCCCACCTATACACCTACCATCCGACTTACGACCTGCTCGACATACGACCACTTGACTTACGACCATGTTTTTTACGCCAGATTTCTGGGAAATAAACAACTGTTTGTGTTGTACACAGTGTTTATCCTAAACCTTACGGTATAAAATACAGTACTAACAGCGTTAAAAGTAAAGTAAAAAATGAAATACCAAAATAAAACAATAAAATAAAATCATTACAAAAGTGTGATGTTGATATTCAGTAGTAAGGTTCGACTTGCATCCATTTCAACTTACAACCGGTTGGTTGGAATCAAGCTTGGTCATAAGTTGGATGGTACCTTTTAATATAATGGCAGTCTCCCACCGAGATAGGGTGACCTGAAAAAGAAATACTTTCACCACCACCACTCACACCATTACCATCTTGCCAGAGGCAGACAGTTGTGTATCACATATTGTACACAGTTATTTATAAAATGGAATTATTTATGGCACCTTCTTTCAGATTTCTGATTACAACATGACACCAGATACTGCATCACTTGCTGAGAGTCTTCGCACCTGCCTTCAGGAGTCGGAAGAAGTACCAACAGATTTTACACAGCTCTTTCATACACAAGTACGAAACAATACTTTCACAGAACATAGTGTTACTTGAAAGGTGAAAAATTACTTTTACCAATGAGTGACAGCCCCGTAAAAAATTTATATATTTCAGCGTATGTCAGAAACTCCCTTCAGTAGATGATAAGTAGCCCATTGCTGAAGATGGTTGTTTCAGAGGGATCAAGCTGCTGATCCTGCTAGCTAGTAAATTAGCCAAACTACAGATGCTCCTCGCTTTATGATGGTTCAACTTGCAATATTTCAACTTTTTGATGGTGTGATAGCGATGCTGTACAGTACTGTACATTTATTGACAAGTTAAACTTGTACTCATTTATTTACTTTTCAATACAGTATTTAGTTACAGTAATTATTTGTTTATTTACTTCTTCAGTGACAGTAGTTATTTATTTACTTATTTATTTATCATATATTCATATTAGACTTAGGATATTTTTAACTTGGGATGGATTCATCAGAACATAACCTCATCGTAAGTCAAAGAGCATCTGAATTCACTCTGTAATAATGTTTAAGTAAGAAATGTCAAGAAACTTGTTGCCCATTCTCCCCTCTCTTGTATTGTGTGTGTGTGTGTGAAGGGTAGTTTATTTGTATATGCACATCTTACTGTCACTATGTACTGTAAGCGCAGGAATCTTCAGAAATTTCAAATGAAACTGGTGGTTTTAAGTGTTTAAAATAGAGTAATTGCTTTTTGTTAATCAGCCTAAGGACCTGGTGAGAAATCAGCTTCTTAATACATTATATAAACTACCTAATTGGTCGGTTAATTTAAATCTACCGTTGCTTAGTATTTGTCTGCTGTTAGCAGTATGATCAGTATGGGATGTTCAAGATTTTATGGCCTCTTCAAGACCTTTATTATTGCTAGATTCACTAGGAGTGTAGGTTTATTGCTAGAATGTAATATTTTCCATATCCTAACATCTATGCGGTTAACATGACTTAAGAAATCGTAATGACACGATTGCAAATAAACCATACTGGGCTGGAGTTTTGAGACTCTATGACCGCGGGTTCAATCCCGGCCGGGGGTATGGTTTATCTATGCGGTTAGTTAAGGTATTAACATTTGTACTTTTACAGTGTACCACTTTATAACAGATGGCAAATTTATATTTACCTTGAGGCTTTGATGATTATTCTTTATAACTTTTAACACCGATGGGGGATCCCTGAGCTTGTTTATTTAATACTGAAGGTAAATACTACAATAAACCTTTGATATAACAGACTTCTGAAATAACAAACAAAATTTAATGGGTAAGTTGTACTCCGTATATACTCATGTAGTATGTGGTACTATATTAGATATACAGTAGAATACTTTACTGTTTTTTGTTTCTTTTTTTTAGCATTATTCTGATTTAACAGACACTTTGAGAATGTTCCCTACTATTCAAGTATATGGAAGGTTCACTAATACTAGTAACTTGTAGCTAGACTTGGTACAGTATTTTCATTTATATTACAACTCATTACGAGGGCATTGTGGGTTATCCTAGCCTGGTGGCTCCCTCATCCCATTTTATTATGTTTTTATGTCCTACATTCTTTATTTTATTGCTAAGCCTGAATGCATTTTATTTCCTAATAATGTATAGCTTTGTTACTCTGCCATTTGACTTGTTTTGAGGGTATCAGCCTGTTGTGTTCTTTTTATTTTAATGTGTAAAGCCTCACCATTATCTAATCTACTTTTATATACATTCTGTATAAGGAATTGAAAAGAAATGCATTCACCATCTTTCATTCAAGTGCTGTTATACCAGAAGTATATAGACATGACAATTTAGATGACCTGAACAACATTTTCCACACCTCTCCTAAAATCACTTGTCTCCACTCCTATCCAACATGCTCACACAAGCCTGCTGGATGTTGAGTCAAACTTCTACCACATAGAACCTCCTTCATCCAACCCTTCCTGGACTAACCCTTACTCTTCCTTCCCTCCACCCTGGATTTATACTCCTCTTTGCCATTCTATTCTGTTTCAACTTTTCTCAGGCTCAGGTTAAGGTGTGTAGAAGAGAGGGAGAATACTTCCCGGTAAAAGTAGGTCTTAGACAGGGATGTGTAATGTCACCATGGTTGTTTAATATATTTATAGATGGGGTTGTAAAAGAAGTAAATGCTAGGGTGTTCGGGAGAGGGGTGGGATTAAATTATGGGGAATTAAATACAAAATAGGAAGTGACACAGTTACTTTTTGCTGATGATACTGTGCTTATGGGAGATTCTAAAGAAAAATTGCAAAGGTTAGTGGATGAATTTGGGAGTGTGTGTAAAGGTAGAAAGTTGAAAGTGAACATAGAAAAGAGTAAGGTGATGAGAGTATCAAATGATTTAGATTAAAGAAAAATTGGATATCAAATTGGGGAGGAGGAGTATGGAAGAAGTGAATGTTTTCAGATATTTGGGAGTTGACGTGTTAGCGGATGGATTTATGAAGGATGAGGTTAATCATAGAATTGATGAAGATAAAAAGGTGAGTGGTGCATTGAGGTATATGTGGAGGCAAAAAATGTTATCTATGGAGGCAAAGAAGGGAATGTATGAAAGTATAGTAGTACCAACACTCTTATATGGGTGTGAAGCTTGGGTTGTAAATGCTGCAGTGAGGAGGCGGTTGGAGGCAGTGGAGATGTCCTGTCTAAGGGCAATGTGTGGTGTAAATATTATGCAGAAAATTTGGAGTGTGGAAATTAGGAGAAGGTGTGGAGTTAATAAAAGTATTAGTCAGAGGGCTGAAGAGGGTTTGTTGAGGTGGTTTGGTCATTTAGAGAGAATGGATCAGAGTAGAATGACATGGAGAGCATATAAATCTGTAGAGGAGGGAAGGCAGGGTAGGGGTCATCCTCGAAAAGGTTGGAGGGAGGGGGTAAAGGAGGTGTTGTGGGTGAGGGGCTTGGACTTCCAGCAAGCGTGCGTGAGCGTGTTAGATAGTTGTGAATGGAGACGAATGGTATTTGGGACTTGACGATCTGTTGGAGTGTGAGCAGGGTAATATTTAGTGAGGGATTCAGGGAAACCGGTTATTTTTATATAGCCGGACTTGAGTCCTGGAAATGGGAAGTACAATGCCTGCACTCTAAAGGAGGTTCGGGATATTAGCAGTTTGGAGGGATATGTTGTGTATAGGTATATGCTTCTAAACTGTTGTGTTCTGAGCACCTCTGCAAAAACAGTAATTGTGTGTGAGTGAGGTGAAAGTGTTGAATGATGATGAAAGTATTTTCTTTTTGGGGATTTTCTTTCTTTTTTGGGTCACCCTGCCTCAGTGGGAGATAGCCGACTTGTTAAAAAAAAAAATTCACTTCTTCCATACCCCCTCTCTCCAATGTGATATCCAGTTTTTCTTTATCTAAATCATTTGATACCCTCATCACCTTACTCTTATCTATGTTTACTTTCACCTTTCTACCTTTACACACCCTCCCAAACTCGTCCACTAACCTTTGCAACTTTTCTTTAGACTCTCCCATAATCACAGTATCATCAGCAAAAAGTAACTGTGTCAACTCCCATTTTGTACTTGATTCCTCATAATTTAATCCCACCCTTCTCCCCAACACCCTAGCATTTACTTCTTTTACAACCCCATCTATAAATATATTAAGACCTACTTTTACCGGGAAGTAGTCTCCCTCTCTTCTACACACCCTAACCTGAGCCTCACTATCCTCGTAAAACTCTTTACAGCATTTAGTAACTAACTACCTATTCCATACACTTGCAATATCTGCCACATTGCTCCCCTATCCACTTTATCATATGCCTTTTCTAAATCCATAAATGTAATGTAAACTTCCCCACTTTTATCTGAGTACTGTTCGCATATATGCTTCAATGTAAACACTTGATCTACACATCCCCTACCCACTCGAAAACCTCCTTGTTCATCCGCAATCCTACATTCTGTCTTACCTCTAATTCTTTCAGTAATAACCCTACCGTACACTTTAGCTGGTACAGTATATGTACTCAGTAATCTTATTTCCCTATAATTTTTACAATCTTTTTTGTCTCCCTTCCCTTTTTATAAAGGAACTATACATGCTCTCTGCCAATCCCTAGGTACCTTCCCCTCTTTTATACATTTATTTTTATTATTATCACACTGGCCGATTCCCACCAAGGCAGGGTGGCCCGAAAAAGAAAAACTTTCACCATCATTCACTCCATCACTGTCTTGCCAGAAGGGTGCTTTACACTACAGTTTTTAAACTGCAACATTAACACCCCTCCTTCAGAGTGCAGGCACTGTACTTCCCATCTCCAGGACTCAAGTCCGGCCTGCCGGTTTCCCTGAAACCCTTCATAAATGTTACTTTGCTCACACTCCAACAGCACGTCAAGTATTAAAAACCATTCGTCTCCATTCACTCCTATCAAACACGTTCACGCACGCCTGCTGTAAGTCCAAGCCCCTCGCACACAAAACCTCCTTTACCCCCTCCCTCCAACCTTTCCTAGGCCGACCCTACCCCGCCTTCCTTCCACTACAGACTGATACACTCTTGAAGTCATTCTGTTTCGCTCCATTCTCTCTACATGTCCGAACCACCTCAACAACCCTTCCTCAGCCCTCTGGACAACAGTTTTGGTAATCCCGCACCTCCTCCTAACTTCCAAACTACGAATTCTCTGCATTATATTCACACCACACATTGCCCTCAGACATGACATCTCCACTGCCTCCAGCCTTCTCCTCGCTGCAACATTCATCACCCATGCTTCACACCCATATAAGAGCGTTGGTAAAACTATACTCTCATACATTCCCCTCTTTGCCTCCAAGGACAAAGTTCTTTGTCTCCACAGACTCCTAAGTGCACCACTCACCCTTTTCCCCTCATCAGTTCTATGATTCACCTCATCTTTCATAGACCCATCCGCTGACACTTCCACTCCCAAGTATCTGAATACATTCACCTCCTCCATACTCTCTCCCTCCAATCTGATATCCAATCTTTCATCACCTAATCTTTTTGTTATCCTCATAACCTTACTCTTTCCTGTATTCACTTTTAATTTTCTTCTTTTGCACATTTGTTAAACAAAAATACCAACCACTCCAATGCAATATCTCCCCATGCTTTTTAACATTTCTGTCATGATCCTGTCAGTTCCAGCTGCTTTACCCCCTTTCATTCTACTTAATGCCTCACGCACCCTCCCCACACTCACATGTTTCATTATTATTATATTTCATTATTAGCACTTGGTCAACACTTTCCCCTGCCCATTACATTTTGTTTTTTTACTGAAAGTACTTAAAAATTCTTCACCTTCTTTTGTTGAGAATAGGTATAAGAACGAGGCTTAAAAAACACTAACCATTACCCACAATTTTACAAAATAAAAGGACATCTTGATAATCCTGTTTTATTCCTTATAATTAATAGTGGCTTTATTCTGTAACCTTTTAATTCACTATGTAGGCTGAATTAATGTGCAGTAATTTTAATGGTTTTAAAGATTTTTGTAATTAATATGCAATATAATTTTTTCACAAACAGTTAACTTCAATAGACATGCAGTTAGTCCCAGCATCAATAGAGTCATATAATAAACTCAACGTGAAACATGAACCTCTACGTCTCATCACTCCACAGTTTGAAACACCTTTGCCTCCACTACAACCTGCTGTATGTATTTAAGTATTTGGCACTATACACAGTAATAAATATTGAACTACTGTACTTTGCTTTGAATTATAACCAATTTATGTTACAGAAATACAGTTCTTTGATTTTTGTATTCATGAAAAAAGCATTTAATGAGAATAGATGAATATACAATTTACACTCAAAAGAAATCATACAGAAATGTGGGACAAAATAATAAGTTTTTATATAAAAAGATGTGCTCAGTATATGCTGTTCTGTTTTTCTTGGTTGATCTGTATAAAAATTAAGACACAATATACTACTGCAGGTATTTCCTCCATCATTCCGTGAATTGCCACACCCTGCGTTAGAGCTGTTCGACTTAGACGAAGCATTTAGCTCAGAAAAGTCCAGGCTAGCACAGGTGAGAATTGCTTTTTTTGTGTAACATATACAGGTGGACCCCACTTATACAGCAGGTTAGGTTCTGGGCTGCTGCTGTAAATTGAAAATGACTGTCAAGTGAAATGTAGCCTTTTTTCAATTTCAAATGCATATAAAATCCTGATAATGTGTTTACCTTATCATATATTAAGTGAGCAACAGAACTAGGCCTAAAAAAATACATATAAAGTATACATTACTTACCTTAAAATATTTTTGTACTTAGCTTATAGTGAGAGGTGAATATATCTATTGTAGGCAGTCAGAATAAATGAAGAATGGGTAAAATTGAACACTGCTGTATTAGTGAAAAGCTGTAAAATGAAGTACTATAAAGTGGGGCCCTCCTGTATAAGGACGGGTAATCAACTAAGCACTACTGGGTATGTATGGGTGCTCCTCGACTTACGATAGTTTAACTTAATGATATTTGAACTTTATGATGGTGTAAAAACAATTACTTTGAAGATGGAACTTAAAATAATTACCCAGCATGAAGGCAGCAAGTCTGCAACTTAAGAACATAAGAAAGAAGGAACACTGCAGCAGACGTGTTGGCCCATACTAGGCAGGTCCTTTACAATCCATCCCACTAACAAAACATTTGCCCAGCCCAATTTTCAATGCCACCTAACTTGTAATCATTTATTTAGTTTTCAGTGCTGGTATTTAGTTACAGTAATTATTTGTTTATTTACTTATTCAGTGACAGTAATTATTTATTTATTTATTTATTTAGCATATCATATATTCAAATTATGATATTTTTAACTTGCAATGGGTTCGTCGGAATATAACCCTATCATAAGTCGAGGAGCACCTGAAATTGCAGATCTAGAGAGTGTACAGAGAACCTTTACTGCTTGTATAAGTTCTATCAAACACCTCAACTACTGGGAACACTTGGAAGCACCTGTACTTGCTGGAATGCAGGCGAGAGAGATATATAATAATCTACACTTGGAAAATCTTAATAGGAATGGTCCCAAATCTGCACACAGAAATCACTCCCTACGAAAGTAAAAGATTGGGCAGCGCCATTGGTACACTAAGAGAAAACACCGTAAGTGTCCGGGGCCCCAAGACTGTTTAATAGCCTTCCACCATGCATAAGGGGAATTACCAATAGACCCCTGGCTGCCTTCAAGAGGGAGCTGGACAGATACTTAAGGTCGGTGCCGGATCAGCCGGGCTGTGATTCGTACGTTGGACTGTGTGACCAGCAGTAACAGCCTGGTTGATCAGGGCGTGATCCACCAGGAGGCCTGGTCGTGGACCGGGCAGCGGGGGGCATTGATCCCCGGAATACCCTCCAGGTATTGTAGAATACTCTGTTAATTTAATAATTAAGGATACTACTTTATGTGATTTTAATATTTTTTGTCTGTTACTCGTTGGGCATTGTTATGGAAGTGTCGTAAATGCCAAATTGTTTCTTAAATGTCGGAACTGATTTTCAAAGAGGTTGAGAAACACGAGAAAAACTTATATGAAATAGGCTGCTGACCTCAGTGATCAGATGATACTGTTCATGAATCAGTTGAATAAAGATTTAAGAGATGCCATTATTATTATTTTTATTATTATCATCATCATCATCGTGGGAGAGTTCTAAACCTGTAGGAATTATACATCTGTGGGGGGATGGAAGGCATTCAGGATCAGTTCAGGGAACTGGAGCACAGATACAATTACCTAGATCAAGAGCTCCTCATCAGCATCAAGGAACCTCCCTTGAAGGGTTAAGAGGTATTGCTGAAGTATTTCTTTAAATACATAGTATAGGTAGTTACACATTCATTCGTCCTTTTATGTATTGTTTCACATTTTGTTTCAGGTAACCAACAAATGTAAGGATGAAGATTTGGAATATTATATACGTGAATGTGGAGATATTCTTGGCGTGACCTCTACGCTTCCACCTACATCAAGGGATGCCAAATATATACTTGAGTATATATTCACTCAACTTGTGGAGTTCAAGAAGTTAAATCAGGTATGGAAAAATGTTAATACATATGTATATATTTATTTTGATTTGTATTGGTACTGCAAGGTTATATTTAAGCTAACATTCCAGCAGGCATGCTTGAGCGTGTTTGATAGGAGTGAATGGAGACAAATGGTTTTTAATACTTGACGTGCTGTTGGAGTGTGAGCAAAGTAACATTTATGAAGGGGTTCAGGGAAACCGGCAGGCCGGACTTGAGTCCTGGAGATGGGAAGTACAGTGTCTGCACTCTGAAGGAGGGGTGTTAATGTTGCAGTTTAAAAACTGTAGTGTAAAGCACCCTTCTGGCAAGACAGTGATGGAGTGAATGATGGTGAAAGTTTTTCTTTTTCGGGCCACCCTGCCTTGGTGGGAATCAGCCAGTGTGATAATAAAAAAAAATAATAAATAAAAAATTTATTTGTTATGTAGATGGTTTAGCCTTTTTTTTTTTTTTTTAAATATCATATTTTAAGTGACGCACAAGGCCAAGACAGCTTACTTTCATTTAGTGAGGAATCCATGCATACTGAGCAGTTTGACCAGGTTCATCCCAGCCAGTGTATGTTAAGCAGTCTGGCCTGGTACAACCCAGCCAGTGTTCTCTAAGCAGTTCAGCCAGGTCCAACCTAACAAATGCACATTGAACAGTTCAGCCAGGCCTAATCTAACCAGTGTACATTGGCAGTTATGCAAGGATCAATCCAAACAATGTACATTACACAGTTTCACTAGGCCAAACCCAATTGTGTATGCTGAATAGTTCAGCCATGCCCATCCCATCTAATGTGCATTAGATGGTTCAGCAAGACCTAACCCACCTAATGTGGAGTGGGTAGTTCAGTACGGCCTAGCCCAACTAATGTATGTCGGGTAGTTCAGCCAGAGTCAACCCAACTAATGTACACTGGGAAATTTAGTTGGGCCCAACCCAACTAACTTACATACCTTTTTTGTTTAATGACTTTTTATAAATAAATAAAAATTAGAATGTGCTGATAATATGATAATATTTTTTATCTTTCAGGATCCTGACACATTCAGCAGACCAAGGTCCGAGATGGATGATGATCCATGAAAACGAAGACACACCATTTGCTGATTTGAATACTGCCAAGAGTACTGTACAGTAATTATAATTTTATGTCATTACTGTAATTTGTACAATGTAATGCTTAGTACACCTCCAGCATTACTATTATCAGTATTCAAGAAGTAGACCAAAATGTGTCTTTGATTTGTTTATTGGGGATATTGTACAGAAAAACTAAATAAATAGTTACATCTCAATACTGAGTGTAAAACTGAAGGGTCATGTAAATCCCACATTAAGGTTCTGTAAAGATTACATTTTTATAATAATATTAATCATCTTTATTTCTATAAGTACATGTACAACTTATACAGACCTAGCTGACATCAGTGACAATATAGAAAGCCCCTTGTTATGCAGAGGCATTTTGGGCAAATTAAGTCAATTCTGTCCCCAGGATGCAACCCACACCAGTCTACTAGCATCCAGGTATCTATTTTACTGCTAGGTGAATAGGGGCAACAGGTGTGTTAACATGCCCTAATGTTTCCACCTGTACTGGGGATCAAACCACAAACCTTAATGTGCAAGCTGAGTGCACTAGCAATTGAACTACGGGATAATGTGTGGGAGGATCTGAAATTTTATTTCCCATGTATGGAAATCTTCTTTTAACAAACTGGTCGTATCCCACCAAGGCAGGGTGACCCAAAAAGAAAAACGAAAGTTTCTCTTTTTAACTTTAGTAATTTATACAGAAGGGGTTACTTACCCTTTTCTCCTGGCATTTTAGTCGCCTCTTACAACACGCATGGCTTACGGAAGAAGAATATGCATGGAGATATTGTGGAAAAAAATGTCTGAAGGAACACATCTACATTTGTTCTGTAATACGGTGACCAGAACTGTGCAGCATAATTTAAATTAGGCCCAAGTGCTGGTTATTTGTGCATAAATGATATCATTTGAATTTCTTCAGGTATACTGGGTTAAAAAATGCATGCCCTCCCAAGACCATTGTAAAAAAATACGTATGTATATGTTATGCACACAAAAACTAAATACTAACCCAATTATTTATATAGATGCAGAGTGACAAATCACATAGAATATTTACATATGGTGAAGAAACACTATTACCCATGATGCACTGCAGGTACCTACCTGCCTGACCCTACATTTTTTTCCTAAAATATCAGAAGGTGACAAATTTGAAGGCACAAAAAATACACATGTATATACATCACTCACAGTTTTGTCCCTTTTATTATATATCAGGCCACCCTACCTTAGTGAGAAATGGCCGATGTGTTAATAAAATATATACGTATATATATATACACCTACCATCCGACTTACGACCGAGTTCGGTTCCGAGAAACCGGTCGTAAGTCGAAATGGTCGTAAGTCGAACTTTACTACTGAATATCAACAAAACATTTTTGTAATGACTTTATTTTATTGTTTTATTTTGGTATTTCATGTTTTACTTTACTTTTTATGCTGTTAGTACTGTATTTTATACTGTAAGGTTTAGGATAAACACTGTGTACAACACAAATAGTTGTTTATTTCCCAGAAATTTGGCATAAAAAACACGGTCGTAAGTCGAGTGGTCGTAAGTCAAGCAGGTCGTAAGTCGGATGGTAGGTGTACATCACTCACAGTTTAAAAGTTAAACCAAACTTATTTTGGCACATACTGTAGGTAAACTCTTACTGTATGTATAATGGTATGAAAAGTGATTATCAGTTGCGTATGATGGTTATTGTCACAGGGTGTGCACCATGCTGCCTTGTGGTAGCACGGTGAGGTGTGCAGTGCTATCTGAGAACAACTGCCAAAATATTGTACAAGAAAGGTATACAATACTGACAAGATGAAAGTTAAGAAACATAAAGATAACCAGATGTTGCACATGTGTCTTAAATGTCACAATATTTCATAACAGGGGACAGAAAAAATAGATTCCCATTATGATCCATGATTATATTACTGAGTGAGTTTAATATCTATGATAAATTTACCATCTTTGGTTGGTGCGCAGTGCTCACCTAGCACACCCAGAATATACATCCCTGGTGATTATTCAGGTTTTCAGTGGTGATATACTATGTGATTTTACTTACTTTTGTGAGAATTAAATGTTAGAGTAATATTCATTTGAAAATATAACTATAAGTGAATTGAATTTAATAAAAATTAAATACAATATATAGTTATGTTGTTGCAACAAACAGATATTGTACAAGTTATTTTATAAATACAGTACTGACTGTCTGTTGTTAGTCATGTTACCAAACTGGCTGTAAATTGTTCAAAAACAGAGTTTGAAATTATTTTTGCATTCAGTTTGTGTATACAAATACTGTATGTATATCCTTTTGCTTACACATGACTGTTATCATATATCAGTATAGTGTTTGACTATAATGACACGATCTATATATTTATAACGCACGTATTTTTATGTATGATTAGTAGATTGAATAAAATATATTAAAACAAAAACTATTTTAATTGAGAATTATCAATATTATTATTTTTTTCATCAAACCTGCTGTATCCCACCAAGGTAGGGTGACCCAAAAAAGAAAAATGAAAGTTTCTCTTTTTAAATTTAGTAATGTATACAGGAGAAGGGGTTACTAGCTCCTTGCTCCTGGCATTTTAGTCGCCTCTACGACACGCATTGAATATTATTACTTTTTTTTTTTTTTTTTTCCAACAAGTCGGCCGTCTCCCACCGAAGCAGGGTGACCCAAAAAAAAAGAAAGAAAATCCCCAAAAAGAAAATACTTTCATCATCATTCAACACTTTCACCACACTCACACATTATCAATGTTTTTGCAGCGGTGCTCAGAATACAGTACAACAGTTTAGAAGCATACACATATAAAGATACACAACATATCCCTCCAAACTGCCAATATTATTACTATTAATATTATATTTAACACACTGGCTGTGTCCCACTGAGAAGGGAAGTGCTAAGCTCAGAGAAATCATACAGCACCTGGGTAATAGGATGCAATCAGGTTCAAGGCAAGAGAGGAGAGAAGTCTAGTTACTTAGATCATGAGCCCCCTCACCAGCACCTAGAAACCTTTACTTTAGCAATTGTCAACAGATATATACAGTATTTCTTCTTTGTAAAGCAATACTATATACATGTACAGTTTATTAACAATGCTTGCTAGTTTTATGGTACACTAGGAATGCTGGTAAATGCAAAGCCATGTATTTCTATCCCAGAATGAAAGCATAACCACAGATGCCTTTTTGGACACCCCGGCAGACTTTACCCACCCTTCTCTCTGACAGGCTAACTTACGCTGCAGACCTTATATTATCGTTTCTTACAGTGGATGCTTGAAGACGTGAACCTTGAAGCTGGTAAAGGGCTCTTCATCCAATAATTGGCATTTCCTTCCCTTTCCTCAGATAAAGCTTGAATATCTCTTATTTCCCCAGATGTTATATGGCCCCATGGGTAGAGCTCCCCATGAATATAATAATACTGATGATAAGAAATCATTGACACTCCCTACTACTACGACTACTTTGAGGAACTGTTAACACAAGAGCTGCTCCTGTTATGTTTCCACAGTAGCATTGTCAGATTTTGTGCTAACATTTCTATGGCAACACTAGGAGGTCTTGAGGCAATGTTCACTTCAAGGAAAACTTGCTTGATGCTGGTGAAAGGAAATTTTGATTCAAACAACTGGAGCTATTCTCTTTTCTTGGACTGAATCTTGATTGCCTCCCTATGGGTTTAGTGCTTTTTCATGAATGTAATAATAATTATCTGTGTGGGCTACTGAATGCTGGACATAGATAATCATATGCACCAACTTTGTATGAGGGTCATTAACCACTCTGATATGGACAACCACTCATACCAACCCTGTATGTCACTGAACTCAATGATTTAGGCAACCACTCGCATCAAATCTGTACATCATTGAGTGCTGTGATATGCAACTCAATGCTGATGAGAGGTTTTGGCCAAAGGAATTGGACCTGTCCTTCCTTTCTTTAGATTGAAGATCATTGCCTCCCTTTCCCCCTAGGCACTGTATGATCCCTACAGGCTTCCCCATAATATAATAATATTAATAAAGTATAGTGTACAGTTCCGATAAATTAATGTTTAAAATCCTTCAATGGCGCAAGTGGAGGGCTTTTGATCCAAAGAACTGGAGCTTCTTTCCCTTCCCCTCAGCTTCTCTACTGCTGTTCTAATTGTTTCTGTTAATGTGGAAAAATTTTCATTATCATCTTTGTGCTCAGAGGCATCATTCTGACTATCTGGCTTTATATAATGTTACAATCTGCTCAAGATGTATTTTATGAAAGATTGTTATAAATTTAAAAAGGTCAGATGTCTAGTACTTTTTCATAAAGAAGGACCCCCAGTAAGTCGTGTCTTCACTTGCCAGGTCAACAGATGCCACAGTCACTGCACATTGGCATCTTCTGGTGTTGCTGCTGACATTGATGACTCACCATCTACATTTAGTAACTTGTGTATAGCTGGCACATTCACAACTCTCATGTGGTGCCACGGCTGATTGGTGGATCCAAAAGTGTTGGCAGAGGTGGTAGACTCATTCACAGATTCCAGTGTGGTTGCAGATGTGGCAGCAGGCTATCTGATGACTCTGTGTGTTCTATCAGGGGTGGCAAGGCTCATCCACAGCTTCCAGTGGTGTTATTTATTATTATTTTTATTATCACACTGGCCGATTCCCACCAAAGCAGGGTGGCCCGAAAAAGAAAAACTTTCACCATCATTCACTCCATCACTGTCTTGCCAGAAGGGTGCTGTACACTACAGTTTTTAAACTGCAACATTAACACCCCTCCTTCAGAGTGCAGGCACTGTACTTCCCATCTCCAGGACTCAAGTCCGGCCTGCCGGTTTCCCTGAACCCCTTCATAAATGTTACTTTGCTCACACTCCAACAGCACGTCAAGTATTAAAAACCATTCGTCTCCATTCACTCCTATCAAACACGCTCACGCACGCCTGCTGGAAGTCCAAGCCCCTCGCACACAAAACCTCCTTTACCCCCTCCCTCCAACCTTTCCTAGGCCGACCCTACCCCGCCTTCCTTCCACTACAGACTGATACACTCTTGAAGTCATTCTGTTTCGCTCCATTCTCTCTACATGTCCGAACTACCTCAACAACCCTTCCTCAGCCCTCTGGACAACAGTTTTGGTAATCCCGCACCTCCTCCTAACTTCCAAACTACGAATTCTCTGTATTATATTCACACCACACATTGCCCTCAGACATGACATCTCCACTGCCTCCAGCCTTCTCCTCGCTGCAACATTCATCACCCATGCTTCACACCCATATAAGAGTGTTGGTAAAAACTATACTCTCATACATTTCCCTCTTTGCCTCCAAGGACAAAGTTCTTTGTCTCCACAGACTCCTAAGTGCACCACTCACCCTTTTCCCCTCATCAATTCTATGATTCACCTCATCCTTCATAGACCCATCTGCTGACACGTCCACTCCCAAATATCTGAATACATTCACTTCCTCCATACTCTCTCCCTCCAATCTGATATCCAATCTTTCATCACCTAATATTTTTGTTATCCTCATAACCTTACTCTTTCCTGTATTCACTTTTAATTTTCTTCTTTTGCACACCCTACCAAATTCATCCACCAATCTCTGCAACTTCTCTTCAGAATCTCCCAAGAGCACAGTGTCATCAGCAAAGAGCAACTGTGACAACTCCCACTTTATGTGTGATTCTTTATCTTTTAACTCCACGCCTCTTGTCAAGACCCTTGCATTTACTTTTCTTACAACCCCATCTATAAATATATTAAACAACCACGGTGACATCACACATCCTTGTCTAAGGCCTACTTTTACTGGGAAATAATTTCCCTCTTTCCTATGTACTCTAACTTGAGCCTCACTATCCTCGTAAAAACTCCTCACTGCTTTCAGTAACCTACCTCCTACACCATACACCTGCAACATCTGCCACATTGCCCCCCTATCCACCCTGTCATATGCCTTTTCCAAATCCATAAATGCCACAAAGACCTCTTTAGCCTTATCTAAATACTGTTCACTTATATGTTTCACTGTAAACACTGGTCCACACACCCCTACCTTTCCTAAAGCCTCCTTGTTCATCTGCTATCCTATTCTCAGTCTTACTTTTAATTCTTTCAATAATAACTCTACCATACACTTTACCAGGTATACCGAACAGACTTATCCCCCTATAATTTTTGCACTCTCTTTTGTCCCCTTTGCCTTTATACAAAGGAACTATGCATGCTCTCTGCCAATCCCTAGGTACCTTACCCTCTTCCATACATTTATTAAATAATTGCACCAACCACTCCAAAACTATATCCCCACCTGCTTTTAACATTTCTATCTTTATCCCATCAATCCCGGCTGCCTTACCCCCTTTCATTTTACCTACTGCCTCACGAACTTCCCCCACACTCACAACTGGCTCTTCCTCACTCCTACAAGATGTTATTCCTCCTTGCCCTATACACGAAATCACAGCTTCCCTATCTTCATCAACATTTAACAATTCCTCAAAATATTCCCTCCATCTTCCCAATACCTCTAACTCTCCATTTAATAACTCTCCTCTCCTATTTTTAACTGACAAATCCATTTGTTCTCTAGGCTTCCTTAACTTGTTAATCTCACTCCAAAACTTTTTCTTATTTTCAACAAAATTTGTTGATAACATCTCATCCACTCTCTCATTTGCTCTCTTTTTACATTGCTTCACCACTCTCTTAACCTCTCTCTTTTTCTCCATATACTCTTCCCTCCTTGCATCACTTTCTACTTTGTAAAAACTTCTCATATGCTAACTTTTTCTCCCTTACTACTCTCTTTACATCATCATTCCACCAATCGCTCCTCTTCCCTCCCGCACCCACTTTCCTGTAACCACAAACTTCTGCTGAACACTCTAACACTACATTTTTAAACCTACCCCATACCTCTTCGACCCCATTGCCTATGCTCTCATTAGCCCATCTATCCTCCAATAGCTGTTTATATCTTTCCCTAACTGCCTCCTCTTTTAGTTTATAAACCTTCACCTCTCTCTTCCCTGATGCTTCTATTCTCCTTGTATCCCATCTACCTTTTACTCTCAGTGTAGCTACAACTAGAAAGTGATCTGATATATCTGTGGCCCCTCTATAAACATGTACATCCTGAAGTCTACTCAACAGTCTTTTATCTACCAATACATAATCCAACAAACTACTGTCATTTCGCCCTACATCATATCTTGTATACTTATTTATCCTCTTTTTCTTAAAATATGTATTACCTATAACTAAACCCCTTTCTATACAAAGTTCAATCAAAGGGCTCCCATTATCATTTACACCTGGCACCCCAAACTTACCTACCACACCCTCTCTAAAAGTTTCTCCTACTTTAGCATTCAGGTCCCCTAGCACAGTTACTCTCTCACTTGGTTCAAAGGCTCCTATACATTCACTTAACATCTCCCAAAATCTCTCTCTCTCCTCTGCATTCCTCTCTTCTCCAGGTGCATACACGCTTATTATGACCCACTTCTCGCATCCAACCTTTACTTTAACCCACATAATTCTTGCATTTACACATTCATATTCTCTTTTCTCCTTCCATAACTGATCATTCAACATTACTGCTACCCCTTCCTTTGCTCTAACTCTCTCATATACTCCAGATTTAATCCCATTTATTTCCCCCCACCGAAACTCCCCTACCCCCTTCAGCTTTGTTTCACTTAGGGCCAGGACATCCAACTTCTTTTCATTCATAACATCAGCAATCATCTGTTTCTTGTCATCTGCACTACATCCACGCACATTCAAGCATCCCAGTTTTATAAAGTTTTTCTTCTTCTCTTTTTTAGTAAATGTCTACAGGAGAAGGGGTTACTAGCCCATTGCTCCCGACATTTTAGTCGCCTCATACGACACGCATGGCTTACGGAGGAAAGATTCTTTTCCACTTCCCCATGGACAATAGAAGAAATAAAGAAGAACAAGAGCTATGTAGAAAAAGGAGAAAAACCTAGATGTATGTATATATATATATGCATGTGCATGTCTGTGAAGTGTGACCAAAGTGTAAGTTGGAGTAGCAAGATATCCCTGTTATCTAGCGTGTTTATGAGACAGAAAAAGACACCAGCAATCCTACCATCATGCAAAACAGTTACAGGTTTCTGTTTCACAGTCATCTGGCATCATTCTGACTATCTGGCTTTATATAATGTTACAATCTGCTCAAGATGTATTTTATGAAAGATTGTTATAAATTTAAAAAGGTCAGATGTCTAGTACTTTTTCATAAAGAAGGACCCCCAGTAAGTCGTGTCTTCACTTGCCAGGTCAACAGATGCCACAGTCACTGCACATTGGCATCTTCTGGTGTTGCTGCTGACATTGATGACTCACCATCTACATTTAGTAACTTGTGTATAGCTGGCACATTCACAACTCTCATGTGGTGCCACGGCCGATTGGTGGCTCCAAAAGTGTTGGCAGAGGTGGTAGACTCATTCACAGATTCCAGTGTGGTTGCAGATGTGGCAGCAGGCTATCTGATGACTGTGTGTTCTATCAGGGGTGGCAAGGCTCATCCACAGCTTCCAGTGGTGTTGTCACAGATATAGCAGTAATAGGCTGACCAGCCACATCCTGATTTATCATTAACAGATTGTTGGCTGGTTTAGATCAAATGCTGTTTGAATTCTTTTTAGTTTTTGTGTCAATTTTTTACTCCTATTGTCTCAGAGTTAATACAGTTAAAAGTATGGCCTTCTAAGGGAAAAGCAACATCCAGTATTGGGCCCCTGCTTAGGTGAGATTGGGACTTTAGTAAGATACTAAAGTCCCAATACAACTCAGTGTTTAGCGAGCCACTGCCCAGACTAAGGGTAGAAAATCCAAATGAATTCCTTATGGAGGAGACCCAAAATTGGGTCATCTCAAAAATCTCAGATATTATCCTACCACCATAAGACTTTGAAAAGGCAATAAATGACATGCCCATGCACTCTGCCGCATGCTCAGACTCGTGGAACTCCGTGTTCATCAAGATGCAGAAGGCCCCTGTCGCGTGTCTTCAGCATTCTATGGAGAGGGAGCATGAACACAGGTCATCCCACACTCGCTAAAAACAACAGACAAAGCCCCACTCTACAAAGGTGGCAGTAAATCAGTTGGAAAGACCTACAGACCAATAGCATTAACATCCCATATAAAAATTTTTGAGAGGGTTCTAAGAAACAAGATCGCCAACCACCTAGATATCCTTCAGTTACACAACCCATGACAACACGGGTTTAGAGCAGGGCGCTCCTGTCTGTCCCAGCTACTGGATCACTATGACAAGATCTTGGATGCTGTTGAGGATAGACAAAATACGGATGTAGTGTACACAGACTTTGCAAAAGCTTTCGACAAGTGTGACCATGGTGTAATAGCGCACATAATGCGTGATAAAGGAATAACAGGAAAAGTTGATAGATGGATTTATAACTTCCTGGTAAATAGAACACAAAAAGTAATAGTAAACAGAGTAAAGTCTGAGGCAGCTACGGTGAAAGGCTCTGTTCCACAAGGCACAGTACTCTCTCCCATTCTATTCCTCATCCTCATATCTGACATAGACAGATATGATGACATCCGGATTGCCACGACAGTGACCTCCATCGAAGACACCACAAGACTCCAAGCGGACATAAACCAAATCTTCAAATGAGCCACCCAAAACAATATGAAGTTCAGTGAAGACAAATTCCAACTGTACTCAGATATGGAAAACTTGGGGAAATTAAAACCATATCAAGGTATACGACAAATTCTAACCATACAATAGAGCGAAAAAGTAATATGAAGGACCTGGGAGTGATAATGTCTGAGGATCTCGCTTTCAAAGACCACAACAATGTATCTACTGCATCTGCTAGGAAAATGATAGGATGGATAATGAGAATCTTCAAAACTAGGGATGCCAAGCCCATGATAATAATAATATCTTTATTTACTACAAGTACATGTACAAGGTATACAGTCCTAGCTGACAACAATGACATACTACTATATAGAAACTCCCTTGTTATGCTCTGCATTTCGGGCAAATTAGGTCAGTGTCCCGGGATGCGACCCACACCAGTCGACTAACACCCAGGTACCCATTTTACTGATGGCGAACATAGACAACAGGTGGAAAGAAACACGTCCAATGTTTCTACTCTGGCTGGGAATCGAACCCAGGCCCACGCCGTGTGAAGCGAGAGCGTTAGCCACCAGGCCACTTGTTCTCTCTAGGCTGGAATACTGCTGTGCACTAACTGCCCTCCTTCAAGGCAGGGAAAATTGCTGACCTGGATAGTGTACAAAGAACTTTCACGGCACACATAAGTACGATAAGGCACCTAGCTGGGAACGATTGAAGGCCCTCGATCCGTATTCCCTGGAATGCAGGCGAGAGAGATATATGATAATATACACTTGGAAAATCCTAGAGAGATTAGTACCAAACTTGCACACGACAATCACTCCCTATGAAAGCAAAAGACTCGGCAGGAGATGCAACATTCCCCCAGTGAAAAGCCGGTACGCCACGAGTACACTGAGAAACAACACAATAAGTGTCCGGGGCCCAAGACTGTTCAACTGCTTCACAGCGTACATGAGGGGGATTACCAATAGACCTCTGGCTGTCTTCAAGAAGGCGCTGGACAAGCACCTCAAGTCAGTATCTGATCAGCCGGGTTGTGGCTCGAACGTCGGGTTGCGTGCGGCCAACAGTAACAGCCTGGTTGATCAAACCCAGATCGACCATGAGGTTTGGTCACAGACCGGACCACGGGGGCGTAGACCCCCGAAAACCTCCTCAGGTATACTCCAGGCATGTGTGCCTGTGCCTAAATAAATGGAAATGCCATGGACTCCAATGTAAATAAGTCACTTCGTCTGATGTGTTTTTGGGTTTTCTTAGTTAATTTACATATAGATGATAATTGTACTTATATTAACTCGAGCCTAAATAAATCGTAATGCGAAGGACCCTAATGGAAATAAGTCACTTTATCTGGCTTTTTGGGTTATCCTTGATAATTTACACTATATACTAGGTTTGTCAGGCACTACATATGATAACTACTTATAAGTACCTGTGACTAAATAAACTTACTCTCTCTTTTACTTATTACTAAAGGACCCCAACTGAAATAAGTCACTCTGAGTTTTCTGGGTTATCCCAGGTTTTCTACACATATGCTCCTATGTACAATAATCTATCTAACCCCAATGGAAATAAGTCACTCTGTCTGACTTTTTTGGGTTATCCTAGGTTCTCTACACATATGCTGCTATGTACGATAATTCTACGTAACTGTATTTGTGTATACCTGAATAAACTTACTTATACCCGAATAAACTGACTAGAGTGAAAAAATGCGCTAGTTAGGGGTCCACAGCAAAACGTTTTCTATAACAGTGTGAGTGAGACAGCAGCGAGGTGCGGGTCTACAACATTCAGTAGTACCCAGCCAAGCACGTGTGTAGCACGTATGGTACATCACTCAGTACCTGTCTTATATTAATACTTTCCACAGCCTTAACGTGCATACTGGAAATGTTGTGAGAACACAAGTGCGGGTGAAGGTACAGGTGTTCTGCTGTGGTGACATACACAGGTGTTTGCTGAAGACAGGGATACTAGAACTGATCGACTTATTGGTCGGGATAGGGACGAATTTTTTATTTTATAAGAAGTTTTGTAGAGTGAAAAGATGAAAACGGATTTGACAGTAAGGTAAGACACTCTGAATATGTGTAATATTCTTGGTCTTGCTTACAAAAGTGATATTTTGAGTTCAATATTTAATGCTGAAATAACTATTGATAATAAATATATTTGGTGCCAGCAGAAAATATTCATTCTAACACTGTTTATAGATTTAAATAATTACAAAACACTCGTTATATCGACCAGTGACAACCTTGTCATACACATTAGTGCAGGAATAATATATAAATTTGGTTATTTTGTTGTGTACTGCTTTACGTTAAGGTATATATTCTTATAGATTACAGTTTACTAATTGTTGAGAATGACATTAATCACACCGATATAAGCATATAGTGGTAATAAACGGAGACGATTTAACCTAGTATAAAATAAAAATATTGTGTGAGTTTATCTGTAAGAATTAATGTGTTCAGGTTTAGGTTTCAGGTGTATCTAGGACACTATTTATCTTTACATGAAAGTACCTGCGTAGTTTGCTGCCATTACTTCTATATTCAGTTCGTTTCACATTTTTACATTTCTTACACGGTGGTCTGGTGGCTAAAACTCCCGCTTCACACACGGAGGGCCCGGGTTCGATTCCCGGCGGGTGGAAATTCCGACACGTTTCCTTACACCTATTGTCCTGTTCACCTAGCAGCAAATAGGTACCTGGGTGTTAGTCGACTGGTGTGGGTCGCATCCTGGGGGACAAGATTAAGGACCCCAATGGAAATAAGTTAGACAGTCCTCGATGACGCACTGACTTTCTTGGGTTATCCTGGGTGGCTAACCCTCCGGGGTTAAAAATCCGAACAAAATCTTATCTTATCTTATCTTACCGTTAATATCTCAACTGAGTGTCCAGCCTCCATGTTACATTGTATCTGTCCTCGATATTAAACACAATTTCCTTACAAATCCCGCCAGTACTATGTATTTTATATGTCGTAATCATATCCCGCCTGATTATGCTCCCTTTATGTAACGCAATGCTCACTTTATGTAGTATTTCCTATAATTTATTCCCTTCGGCCCAGGGACTTGTCCTCCTGCAATAGTTAGAACTTTCTCTAGCATCTATAATTGATTAACTAGATTTGGGCTTAGCACTGGTGTTGCATACTAACATGTGTGGTGTTGCAGACTAACATCTGTGATGTTGCATACTAACATTTGTGATGTTGCATACTAACATTTGTGGTGTTGCATACTAACATTTGTGGTGTTGCATACTAACATCTGTGATGTTGCATACTAACCTTTGTGGTGTTGCATACTAACATTTGTGATGTTGCATACTAACATTTGTGATGTTGCAGATTAACATTTGTGGTGTTGCAGACTAACATTTGTGATGTTGCATACTAACATTTGTGATGTTGCAGATTAACATTTGTGATGTTGCAGACTAACATTTGTGATGTTGCATACTAACATTTGTGATGTTGCATACTAACATTTGTGATGTTGCATACTAACATTTGTGATGTTGCATACTAACATTTGTGGTGTTGCAGACTAGCATTTGTGGTGTTCGATTCACTTGCCTGTGTGTTTGAGTAAAGGGGTTGTTAGGAATACACTGTATTCCTAACAGCCTGTGGGCAAGTAACAGAAGACATAATAACAGACTACCACAGTACCTCAACACTGACAACCGCCACAGTACCTCACACTGACAACCACCACAGTACCTCAATACTGACAACCACCACAGTACCTCACACTGACAACCACCAAAGTACCTCAACACGGACAACCACCACAGTACCTCAACACTGACAACCACCAAAGTACCTCAACACGGACAACAACCACAGTACATCAACACTGACAACCACCACAGTACCTCAACACTGACAACCACCACAGTACCTCAACACAGACAACAACCACAGTACCTCAACACTGACAACAGCCACAGTACCTCAACACTGACAACCACCACAGTACCTCAACACTGACAACCACCACAGTACCTCAACACGGACAACCACCACAGTACCTCAACACTGACAACAACCACAATACCTCAACACTGACAACCACCACAGTACCTCAACACTGACAACCACCACAGTACCTCAACACTGACAACCACCACAGTACCTCAACACTGACAACCACCACAGTACCTCAACACGGACAACAACCACAGTACCTCAACACTGACAACCGCCACAGTACCTCAACTGACAACAACCACAGTACCTCAACACTGACAACCACCACAGTACCTCAACACTGACAACCACCAAAGTACCTCAACACGGACAACCACCACAGTACCTCAACACTGACAACCACCGAAGTACCTCAACACTGACAACCACCTGACAACCACCACAGTACTTCAACACTGACAACCACCACAGTACCTCAACACTGACAACCACCACAGTACCTCAACACGGACAACAACCACAGTACCTCAACACTGACAACAGCCACAGTACCTCAACACTGACAACCACCACAGTACCCCAACACTGACAACCACCACAGTACCTCAACACTGACAACCACCACAGTACCTCAACACGGACAACAACCACAGTACCTCAACACTGACAACAGCCACAGTACCTCAACACTGACAACCACCACAGTACCTCAACACTGACAACCACCACAGTACCTCAACACGGACAACAACCACAGTACCTCAACACTGACGACAGCCACAGTACCTCAACACTGACAACCACCACAGTACCTCAACACTGACAACCACCACAGTACCTCAACACGGACAACCACCACAGTACCTCAACACTGACAACAACCACAGTACCTCAACACTGACAACCACCACAGTACCTCAACACTGACAACCACCACAGTACCTCAACACTGACAACCACCACAGTACCTCAACACTGACAACCACCACAGTACCTCAACACGGACAACAACCACAGTACCTCAACACTGACAACAGCCACAGTACCTCAACACTGACAACCACCACAGTACCTCAACACTGACAACCACCACAGTACCTCAGCACTGACAACCACCACAGTACCTCAACACTGACAACCACCACAGTACCTCAACACTGACAACCACCACAGTACCTCAACACTGACAACCACCACAGTACCTCAACACTGACAACCACCACAGTACCTCAACACTGACAACTACCACAGTACCTCAACACTGACAACAGCCACAGTACCTCAACACTGACAACAGCCACAGTACCTCAACACGGACAACCACCACAGTACCTCAACACTGACAACCACCACAGTACCTCAACACTGACAACCACCACAGTACCTCAGCACTGACAACCACCACAGTACCTTAACACTGACAACCACCACAGTACCTCAACACTGAGAGTATTCCTGATCTCAGTATCAGAACACTATAAATAATTCAACAGAAAGATATTACAAGAGAAAGTCTTCCGGCCGCATGAGAGAGACGCGAGAAAGCGATTTAGAAAGCGTGTAGAAGCAAGTTTTTTTTTTTCCTTCACAGAGACCATTATGCCATATTTGCCTGGATATTACAGCACCGCGTAGGCAGATCTTTTTATTATTTTTTTTATTTGACTTATGTCAGTGCTACCACAGGCCCACCAGAGTGTGCTGCTCCCTAGAAATATGGTTGCAACTCATCCTTACGATTTCATGAAGAATCTGTCGCTTACTGCCTCTCCTATGAGGCGTTACCACCCGTTGACGTTTCGTAAACGGGTAGTAACGTTCGTAAACGGGTAGTAACGTTTTGTAAACGGGTAGTAACATTTCGTAAACGGGTAGTAATGTTTCGTAAACGGGTAGTAACGCTTCGTAAACGGGTAGTAACGCTTCGTAAATGGATAGTAACGCTTCGTAAATGGGTAGTAACGTTTCGTAAACGGGAGAAAACGCATATTGGTGGTTAAATATATGTAAATATAGCTTTATTTAGCTTAGATGTTTCTTGAATCACAAAACCTAAAACAAGCCATTGATGCATAGATATATAAGGGTCAGAAATTGACGACCTGAAAGGGTTAAAACGAAGATTAAAGGATTTGTTGAAATAGGAGCATACCGCTCGGCATTATACCCAAGGGCAGCATACCGCACGGCAGTATACCCCAGGGCAGCTTACCACACGGCAGTATACCCTAGGGCAGCATACCCCACGGCAGTATACTTCAGGGCAGCATATCACACGGCAGTATGCTTCAGGGCAGCATACCACACGGCAGTATACCCCAGGACAGCATACCACACGGCAGTATACCCCAGGACAGCATACCACACGGCAGTATACCCCAGGACAGCATACCACACGGCAGTATACCCCAGGACAGTAGAAACTATTACTGGGTGGGAACAGTGGAAGCAGGTAATGTCCAATATACTTAGTAAGGATGACAGACGAGTATATCCTCAAAATACCAAAACATATTCCGATATGATGTTGTCGTACCGAACATATCCAAACTAATATTTATTTGGTATGAAGTGAAAATGTTAGTCCAGCTGATAAAAGCGTTTTATTTTAATTTTATATTGCATTTTACGCTAGTTGTATTTTTTGCCTCATTACTGTTTGTTTGAGGTGTTCAAACAGCATAAAATACGACTTTGTCAGCAAAGGTAACCAAAAAAAAAAGTCTGCTTCAGCTCCAAGCCTAGTTAGAGAGTTCGTGTTACATTATAATATTATATTATATATATATATATATATATATATATATATATATATATATATATTATATATTATTATATATATATATATATATATATATATATATATATATAACTTTAATTTTATCGTCAGGAAACAGGGCAAGTGTTTCCTGACGCGGGTCTTGATAATATGGAGCTTTTGGTCATCTGACCAAGGCCTTCCGCTGGCTTACCGGTCTACCCCTTTAAAAAAATAAATTATATAATATTAGGGTTGTAGCGTGAGTGTAACTTAGGTGATTTCTATGGCCACTGTCCCCATATCTTGTTAATGGTTTTGATGACCATCGCCTCTGCAACCCGGCCTCAGACTAGGCC